TTGCTTATAGAGTAATAACACTCACGCTGCTGTACAATTGTTGTATTACTTAACATCATGTTTCATTTTTTTCTGTGCCGCCTTCCCACAGTGTACTTCTCAATGAATTGTTACATTCTTAAGCTGCATCATAAATACTTTATTTATTCCCGGGGAGGGAAGTTCAGGCATTGAAGTCGCTCCTTCACAGAATATAGGCATGAAGAATTCAACGAAGTGTGTTGGTTGTTTACAGAACAGTTTCTTTTCTTGTAAATTAACTGTTTGCATGTGTGCGAAAGGCCAAAACACACAGAAAAGCCTCAATTTTGCGTGTGGACTAGGCCTTTTTGGTATCAACATCTTTGAACAGTCCAGCAAGACTAAAGCTGAAGGAGGAACATGGGGAGAAAAGGCTGAACTGGTTGTAACATTATCTTGAGAAGTGTTCTGACTTCCTGAATCGACCCAAACTTTTCCTAGGGGTCTACCAGGAGCCCCTGGAGTCCATTGCCACAGGTGTTTAGTTCCTGAACAGCAGGGACATCCTCTCTCAAATAGACCGTACAAGAACGAGCATCACCTACACATTTTGTTGATTTTTGTTTTGACATATTTGATGGATCCAAGCAAAAAGGTAAATAATACTCTCAGACTTGAAAAACATACACTTGTTATAGATTTTGTGTAAATAAAAAAGTGATCTAAAATATGGCTGTTGTCAAATTTCAGAGAGACAGATCTGATAATGATAACCTGTAAGGGAGATCCTTTAGAATGTCTTGTTAGGGATAAATGCACAATTTCATTCATCATCAAAACACTGAAGCAACTACAATATATCAAGAACTCTGCTGCTCGTCTTCTCTCACACTCCTGTAACCGTGACCACATCACCCCCGTCCTTCATAACCTCCACTGGCTCCCCATCCCCCAGTGTATCCACTTCAAACTTCTCATCTTCACCTATAAAGCCCTTCATAAACTGGCTCCCCCTACCTATCTGAGCTCCTCCACCGGCACACCCCCACCCGCACTCTCAGGTTTGCTGATGCAACCTCCTGCCCCCCCCCCCCCCCCCCCCCCCCCTGCAGGACCAACAATCGGTCATGGGGGGACAGGGACTTCTCCATTGCTGCTCCCACCGTCTGGAACTCACTCCCAAAAAGCGTTAGAGACTCCCCCACCCACTACCGTCAAGAACTTTGCCTACAACCACTAACAAACTCTATTCTCATCCTCCTCCTTTTATATTATTTCTTTGTTGTTTTGTTTTGTTGTAAAAGCGTCTTTGAGTACCTAGAAAAGCGCCATAAAATTCTAATGCATTATTATTATTATTGTTTTTCCATAGGGGTGCCTCAAGGGTCAGTTCTCGGTACTCTTCTCAATATACACCACCTCACTTGGTGCAGTAATCCGTTCTCGTGGTTTCTCATACAACTTCTATGCTGACGATACCCAGCTGATGTCACCGTGTTTACCAGTTGAAGGAAATACTTACAAAAACGGCTTCTCCTTACCTAAACTCTCTCATCCAGGTCTACCCTGCCTCCCACCCACGACGCTCTGACAATTAAAGGCATCTGATCCGTCAATACAACAGGGCCTTAAGTCTCCAACTAGACTCTTCTCCTCTATCAATCCCTGTTGGTGGAATAAACTACCAAACTCCATTCGATCAGTGTCCCTTAGCACCTTTAAGAAAAATCTAAAACCCTTTTATCAACACCTACTCACTGAATGATATTGATCACAATGATTATTTTGAAGAAGACAATGACAATGTTTAAGATGGTTTTGATGCTGATTGGAACTCTGAAGAACAGCTTGATTTACTTAAAAACAAAAACTGCTCCGCCCCTGTGCACTTTCTGTCAGCACCTGTGTCCAGTCTGTCAGTACCTGTGTCCAATCAGGCGTATGAATGTGTATATACCGGATTTGTTACTAATGATGGTCTCACTACATAGCAACCACTGCCCTCAGTGTGTGAATGGGTTTGAATGGGTAGGTGTGACATGTGGTGTAAAAGTGCTTTGAGTAGTCCGAAGACTAGAAAAGTGCTATACAAGCTCAAGTCCATTTACCATTAACCATAGAAACGTGACAAAAAGGTCACAACATTAACTGAAAACACAATAACTACTGCGGTCACATCTCACCCAAAAATTTCAAAGTGCAGAAAAAGAATAATGTTCTCAAATGACATGTCAGATTTGTCTGGGAATTCATCGACTACAATGACGTCTGCCTTTTTCAGTTCATATAACAGCATTTAAAAAAAACATCTGTAGTCAGTATTTGAACACTGTGAATAGTATATGATTAAATAGCAGATTCCACACTGACTTTAATTGTCACCTCTTCCACCACTTTATCTACAACGGACAGCATGCATTCTCTTAACTACTTGGAGAAATGAAAATGCAACACAGTTTGAATGCTTTTAACAAAGGTATTAAATCATGGCTCAAGGAGAAACAACATTGTTCCCACACCTAAACGTACATGAGATCACAAATGTGTGTTGTATGTTTTTGCTGCCTTCTCTTTGTAACTGTATTTTATCCCTGTTGCATTCAGAACTGCACTGTATTTATAACTTAACTGTTTTCATGTTCTTCTCCTTTTAATTCGTCTTTATTTCTATCTGTTAATTTCTAAAAGCATCCCGTGGACAGGTGTTGCAAATTAGCATTTTGCTGTAACACCTCAGTTAATACCTCCGATAGCGAAACAGAAGTTGGATCACTTTGTCCCCTCATTACACCTCTGTGACATTCATATTATAGGCAAGACTTCACAGTGGCGTACATATGGCACCTTGAACTAGCAGTCTGAATAGGGCTAATATAAAAACCCTTAACGGCCAGGGTGAGATAATCTTATCTCTTGCAGGAAACACATTGAAGGGCCTTGACCCAAACAACTGGACGGGAAATATATCTAACATTAGCTGATGGGAAAGACACCCCAGCGAGCTGAAATAACAACAGCAGAGAGGTTGTTCCATCATGTAAGGATTCAATTGGTTGTTTCTTTTCATCTATAAGCACAATTATCGCAATTATCACAGTATAGCAGTTGTTTACCTGATTCAAGCTTGTTGCAGTTTATGACCGTCAGTGTTTCTCACAACATGACAGTGCATCTGTGGCAGGAACAGTTGCAAGTACAAATAAAACCCTTAGACCCTTAAAACACAAGCATTAGCAGGAGAAAAACAGGAGAGGACATGCAATAATATAAAATAACGTGTTCCTGTATCTCTGTTTCTCTCATGTGATCCACAATAGACCTTCTGTTCACAGTGGAACAAGACTCCCCAGAAAGCATGGCTGAATTATCATCGTGAAAATTATCATTACATCCCATGTGAAGGCTGTGAGAACGCTGCATCAACAAGCAGCAAGGAACGATGGAGAAAGATCATCCCCATTAAAAATTTTACAAGATCCACATTTATAACCTGTATGTTTAACAATTAGGTGAATATTCATGAAAAAAGCCCTGAGTTAACAAAATGTGCTAGCTACCATCCGCTATCGTTACTAAATGCAGACGTTCAATTATTTTCTAGGTAGGTACTCTCGGCGGGTCTGGAGACCTACATGCCTAAATTGATTCATCCATTTCAAAGTGGATTTGTCAAAAGGCGTCTTTCAGCTGTGTATTACACATTCTTGAGGCTTTCGATAATCTGTCATCGTCTGCTATAGTATCTGATACAGAGAAAGCTTTAGACCGCCCTGAATGGCCTTTTCTGTGGTGTGTGTTGAAACACATGGGTCTGGGTGCAGATTCTATTAACATGGTCAAAACAATTTATGAAAACCCTATGCATAGTCATCAAGGCGATCCAATCTCATCTTTGTTATATATTTTTTATCTCTTGAGTCTTAGCAATAGGGTATTTCAGAAAATCTAGATCTACCCAACATTATATATCCCTTTTGGCTGATGATGTCATTCTCTTGTATTCCGATATGAAAACCCTCTTTAACATATACTTGAACAGTTTGGTTTTGTCTCTAGTTACAAAATGAAATGGACTAAGTCTTCAATATTATTTTTAAACGTTATAAGTAAAAATGAATGCACACGTTCTAATATCCCAGTAGTTTCCCATTTTAAATACTTAAGAATAAATATATTTGTGTGTCTAAAGAAAGATGGCATAACTCACCAATTTTCTCTCAGGCCGAATTTCAATAATTAAAATGAACGTCCTACCTAGACTAAATGTTTCTAGTTACGTGTAACTCTTAGCACTCCCTCCAAGATACAGGGACAAAATACAAAGCATTATTACCACATTTTTATGGAAGGGTAGATGCCCTAAAACTGACTAACTTGCAAAAAAAGAGGCAATTTGGGGGACTTTTGTTACCATACTTTAAGTTAGACCGTGCCATTGGCCCAATAATAAATTGGGTTCACTGCAATTTTTCTTATCAATGTATAAACATTCAAAGGGACTAAACATTTCTGGAACACACTAATACTATACATGGAGACAATGTCATATTATGACTTTGTTTTTAAATAACAGGCATAGCCTATTTGTTTGTTGGAAGTTTTTCTCTAAATGGTTGCAGCAAAGCTGTTAGCATGAGATTAATAGAAAGCACCTTATATATCTTCCTGCCCCTCACCTTATTACCTCTACTTACCCGAATACAAAATTAACTTTCTCCTACTGAGTTGATAAAAGCAAAGGAAGACGAGTGCTTAAACATCTACCGGGGAGGTATTTATTGTTCAAATAACTATCATTAAAGCTTGAATCTGAAAGAGAGAGGGATTGGGTCAGGGAGTTTCGACAAGCCAGGACATGACTGCTAAGGATATATAGAGGTAGGTAGGAAACAGAAAACGAACAAATCAAATCACAGAGAAGAATTACTATTAAATTAAAGTAGATAAAAGTTAATATCTATAAAAATGGTTCTGTTAGGACTGTTTTGACACCACATATTTTGGTAGCTGTTGTACAGGGGTTCCATTTAGATAAATCTTTAGTTTACATGATCTGTTGAAAGAATGAGAGAAAGAATGGAATGCAGAATTGATGTAGTGTGTAAAGCAGAAGGACAGATAAGAGGTCTTTCATGGCAGAGGAAATATGTGGAAGGTATAACCATGAAGAAATCTACGGGGATGAGGGTAGGTGGGGTGGGTGTTCACTATTCAGTACATTTTAGGAGTAAAATAATCCAAAGAGGTCCCCTCATTGTAAAGAAGCAATAATTAAAACCCATGAAAAACACTTAATATAATGTAATAGAATGTGGCCATCTGAAGCTTTGGGTAAGGGTGGGTTCAGTCCATCCAAACATGGGTCTTGCCCGCTCAAACAAAAGTTGAGGTAGAAAAAAAGTTTGGTCGGCCAATTCAGAATGGCATTTAAGAATGCTGTTAAGGTTTCCAATGTCTGATAGGTGGGCAGCCTACATTCAGCACATAAATTCGCTGATATGAAACAATATGAAACAGATGAGCAGGAAGAACGCATTAGATTCATGTTCTGCATGTTTTTTTCATAAAACTGCAGGTTTCAGGTTTCTTGTTATACAGAGTAGATTCAGTATGCTGCATTTAATTTCAGACACACGCCTTGAAAGCAAACTGCAAACGGAATAAAAGCATCTTTTTGTTAAAACGTAATAGGCCATCCATCCTAATAGGTCTCCCAGCCTCCACTTTGTCACACACATTGCGTAAGGGCAAACATTCAGCGCACAGAGACACAACCTGTGACAGAGGTTTGAGCCATGCACAGATAACCTCCCTTTCAAAGATAAATAAAACTTTATAATGAAATTCGTACAATAACTGAGCAGCTTCTGCGCCGCGACCATGATTGTTGCACCGCTGATGGTGCACGCGTCATGGTGTAGGCTGAAGCAGTGCCAGGTGCGGAAAAAGTACATTAAAATATGTGGTTTCTCCTTATTTGTTGCCTCCGCCTCTTTTCTTTTTCCACTAAAAGAACAAGGGCTGACAATGTCAGGGCAATTTTCAACTTTTTATCAGACATTATTCTAGATTAGTAAGCCACCTATATTATGAGTGGTGCGCAGCAGGGGTGTGAAAATTGTCTTCTTGTATCTTAACAACGGACTACTGCCGCCTGCTGGCATGGAAAGTTATTTCCTCTCACGCATGCACTTGACTACTCGGCTGTAGTCTTTGCAGTCCGTCTAGTGCAACTTTTTGGCCAAGACAAAAGGCATCACAGGCTGCCTTCGTCGCCACTAGTTCTTTGCCTTCTGCTTCTGGTGTGTCAGGGCCTTAAGGCTTTTGCAGGAAACAAGCTATATACCATAACAAAATCCCAACTAACGCCATTGTTTATCTCATCGTTTTATCACATAAGTATTGGACTAATTCCCTGATGACATTTGAGAAGACAAGGAAATTCCCCACAGGCGTCTCCTTTCTTTTTTTCAACAGCTCAACTGGGCTTGCACTACACAAGATTCCCACTTCATATTCTGGCATCAGATAAGGCTAAATAAAGGACTAGGACAAGGTAGAACATATAAGTTCCTGTTCCAGATAGAGATTTACAAATAACTAAAATGGATGAAAGAAAGGTATATGGTTTTTGTGATGTACAAGGCATGCATTTAGTATCTTGGGGACTCATCAATTCAAATTTATCGAAGCATGTTAAAAATCACTTTGCTGCCAGAAGAAGCAAAAGCCAGCTGACCTGGGAGATAGTTTAGAAATATAAGATCATTTTTTGTAATCTAGAAAAATGTCAGACCATTTACACAACTTGATTATGTTTAGTTTTCGAAACAACTAACCAATTAAAACAAAACACTGCAGAAGGATACCAGGATTTTAAATGAAGCAGGCTTGTACTTGGAGGCAGGCCTTTCTATAAAAATGTCCCTGTCTGAAAAGTTAAATTTTTTAGTTTTAGTTAAATTTAAGTTAAATTACAAGTAGCAGCCGTATGCTGCTACTTGTAATTTTCCAAACCTATTTTATAATAAACAATTAAACACCTGCTTTTTTCTCTTTATCCCCTTATGTCCCAATCTCACACTATCTTGTTTAGTGAGAGAAATGAGCTTCAGCTGGCAACCACTCGTCCACCTATGCCCCGAGTCTGTCCATTCTTGATGAACATTCATTTTTTTGCTTTTCTAAATTCAGAGCACACAATGCCTACCTCCCTGACTCGCCTAATTTCTCCTGTTCTGTTTCTGAGACGCCCGCTGATTCCTCCGTGTGTTCCTCCAAGCATTTGATTAGCTGAGCAGTATCATGTGTGACAATCTCTATTGTAAAGGCAAAAATAGCTGTGCTGTTTAAGATAGACCTAAAATAGAATTATTTGTATTTACTTTCCGATCCGCAACAAGTTCATTTTTCCACTGTTAAGTTAAAGTTATAATCTAAGATTTAAAATGTCTTTACAATTAAAAGCAAATTAAAAACAAGAAGTACCCTTAGCTTAAAACAGTACAGAAATACAAAATAAAAGAAATAAAACATACAATTAATAATTTGACTCACAAAAATTAACTATTTAAATTCAGCGATAATTGCTACTAAAAAAATAATCTTTTGACAACCCTACTTTGAATAGATATAGCATAAACACACACACACACACACACACTCATACTGACTATAAATCCAGATATCCAAGAAGCCCCAAACACACTCTCACTGACACAGGTGACAACCAACTAAATCACTAACAACAGAGGGCTTTAAGTAGCCCATGTTTGGCACAGTCAAATAAACATTCAATAACTTTTTTTAAATTATTGAAAAACACTGCAAATACAACTTTCTATACAATTTTTCAAAAGTCTTACCTTCCTGGCCCTTCTTCTCCCATTTACATGCAAGTACAGGAGTAATCTCAGCAGGACGTCCAAATGTAGACGATAACCCTTCATTGCTTTGGACTGTAGGAGGCTGGGTCTCAGCTGCTTTAGTGTCATTTGTAGTATTCTGAGAGAAGGAAGCTATCCTCTGTAAGATTGAGCCAACACTATCTCTCGTACACCCTACACAATCTTCTAAAGACTCAATGGCTTTGGGACTGGAGGGGCTGGATGAGATGTGAGGGCTGGGCAGGTTTGAAACCATCTGGATAACATCAAGCTCTGAAAGAATCTCCAGCTGGGGGCTCTGAACTGTAGAAAGGGGCACAAGTGAGCAACTCATCTCATGGGAAGGTATGGAGCCTTGCGAGAGAGTAGGAGAACATAGGTAAAACGGCTCAAATGAATGGTGGACAGAAAGGGGTGGGCTGTCAGAGGAGCTGTCCAGGCTGCTCAGAGATGCTGAACAGCTAGCTGAGGTGGAGTTTGGGCTGGTGGGGTGTTGGGGGCCTCCTATGCTGCTCAGAGTAGGCTTCAGGAGAGTGGGGCTTATGTATCCTCCTTCAACTTTGGTGGGAGAAGAAGTTGAGGAGCTGGTTACAAAGCTGTCCAGATCCAAGGGAAACTTGTTAAGACGTGTAACCTTAGACGCAGGTGGCTTTAGCATCTGGTGCCCTTGCCGACTGATGTTTTTGGCTCCTTGCTCTCCAAAGATAGTGGCATTATGAAGACAACCATTCCAGCTTGCATTTGAATTGGCATACCTTAACCCTGGAGACATCATAGTGCCACCTCCACCCCTCTGCATATTAAACATTCCTCCACCTCCATCACAAGTTTGAAGCTCTAGGCTGGGCATTGAGCCGTGGTTCACACCCCAGGGCTCTGGAACATCCAGCAGAACCCCTGGCACTGAGTCCATCTCAGAGTGGAACACATTACCATGGGAGGAGAACTTCTTCAGGTTGGGGTTGCTTCTCAAGTTGAGACCTTCCTCCAGGTGTTGTTGTGGAAGCTGTGGATGGGTGTGCTGGTACTCCCCCCGAGATGGAGTACTAGGATATGATCCAAGCTTAGAAGGTGGGAAGGCATTCCCACCGCCACCAGTGTACTCCAGGCTGGATGTGGAGCTGTGAAGGCTGTCATTGTCACTACCTGCTCCAGAGAACAATAAGTTACCATTTGGGTTTAACCTACTCTGGAAGGATGCAGCTCTGGCCACAGAGGAGCCATTGTTGTGCATGGCTGGCTTAAACATGGTCCCTCGGTTAAAGGATAGGCTGCTGCCTACAGTACGCGACTTAAACACTTGACTAGGTTTAGGACTCAGGCTGTTATTGGAGTGTTTTGCTGTAGACCCCAGGCTGTTGTTGCCAGTGAAATTTAATGAAGAAGATGGGCCTCCTCCTCCATGCTCCTTATTGACCTTGTCGTGGTTGTGAAACAAATGGCTGGACGAAGGAGAAACTGGGGTGGAGACAGGACAAGCAGTAGAAAAGGATGGTATAGCTTCCACATCTTCAACATCAAAGGATCTCTTCAGTGCTGTAGGGGAGAGAGAACAAAGAGTTGTAAATAAAATGTCTCTTTTAACCACAAGGTAGTGGATTTGTTTTGTCAGATATACAAGTGATGAACATCTATAATGTTCCATTGTTAATCCATTATGACATTCATATGCTCCCTGACTAACTAATATTCTTCTTCTGTACATTTGGCAGAATGTGGCCTCTCCCATCTCCAGAGATTTCGGTTTCAGGTTTTGTTTCATTCTGGTCTTAACAAAGAGAGTCATCAAATATACAGGTCATCAGTTATTTCGCTGGGATTGCTAACAATTTGCCCAATTGTGCTGATGTTTCTTGACCTATTTAGTAGTATGAAATTCAAAAAGTTTAGTTAATATAGTAATATAGTCGTTGCTACTTAAGACAGTTAAGACCAGAGCCAATAGAGCTACATACTGTCTCTACAGTGAGATGGACATTAATGGACAAGTGGGTGCTCAAAAAAGTGTGATCCATCTTGTCGCTTTTCAATTCGACCATTTACAAATAACATGACAATTGATTTAACATCACAACTGATGACAATAATCCATTAAACAAAAAGAAAAAATTTGATTGGAAAATAAATATAATTGTATGGTTTGCCATTGCTCACTTGAGCAATATACATTACTTTCAAACAGAGTAAACATAGTGTCTACCAGTGTTAACACTCTAACTCAAGAATTGTAACAACATATACTGCATTTTTATAATTTGACAAGGGTTGAGATTGAGTTTCTGGGGTGAATAATCTAAGCCATTTGCCTAAGCATGAAAACAATGTCCCTTCTTCTGTTGAACACACACACACACACATACACATGGCTAGCTGCCAAGCCATTCTTCCCTAATGGTTCAGAATTTGGCAAGACATCACAGTTGGAAGCCCTTTGCTCAGACATGTCTGAGGTTGTCAGGCCCTTGAGGCACACTGGATCAGTTCTAATGAACCAATGAGAGAGCAGAGACAAAACCATTACTGCAGGGAAAGTATCAGGACGCTGGTTTGAGGACTTGTTTCAAATCTTTATAGTTCATCTAATTGTTGATCTAATTACATGTCAAAACTGGTATGTTTTTAATCGTTCACCAAGTGTAGTGGTTTGTTTGGCCTAGAGATAAACATGAGACTTAATTGAGTTCGCAAAGATTCTATGTTGTTAATTTGAAAAAAAACAGTGACCTTAACCACTCCAAAACTTAATATCCAAAGTAGACTGAAGAGCTGTATCTATAGGTGTGGGAAGGCTTTATGGACACAATTAATCTACAATCACAATAAAATGAAACAAAAACAATAATGCCTTAAGACTTTTTGTAGGATGTTAATCGTAAATTTCAAACTCTCAGTGTCACACAGTTACTTCGTATTTGAAAAAATCTCTACATTTCAAGAGGTTTTTAACAACAGTATTGATTCCATATTGACAGATTGATACACCCCAACTGGATTGAAGGACTAAGCATGTCATGTTTAAAAAATATATATGTATACAATTAAAAAAAACGAAATAATAATTAAACAGTTGTATGATGTGATGGTGCACACTAATGACATTTGCAGATGCACCTAGTATTAATCAAGTCTTAGAGACTCTTTTTTAAATCAAATTTTAACCCTTCTTTTAAGAAAGGTTTACCTCAAATATTGGAAACTTTAATAAGAGAACCTACACATAATTTCACTAACATTTATTTGTTACTGTGCTGCTTTGTCACTGTGCTGTTCTAACTTTCTCTAAAACACTGGAAGCACTAGCAGTGAAACTTTGAATCTATTGTACCCTAATAGACCCTTGTCTCTGTCTGATGTATTTCAGTCATCAGTTGAAGTGAGTCAATGGGCAGACATCTGTGTGTGTGTGTGTGTGTGTGTGTCTATGGGTCCCCAGGCCCTGTGTTATTTTCAGAGTTACAACATTGGAAATGACTGCAAGGAATGTGTCTTCCAGATGTGCTTAAGTGGAAGTTCTTTTAAGGTGTTTATTTGTGTGTGTGACTGTGGCTGAGGGAGAATTAGAGTGTCTGCACTGTTTTGTGCCTGAAAAGAGTGTGTTAACACGTGTGTTCATGCATGTCAATAGACATGCTCTCAAGTCTGTCAGAGAGTTTCACCTGTATGGAATGTGCAGACAAGGCTGGGGGGTTGAATGTGGACATGCCCAGACTCAGAATCCCCTCGTTGAGTGTCCACATAACTACATCCCACCATTCAGGAGCTAACTTGGTGCATGAAGAAAGATGCACTGGTTAAACATCCTGTCAGAATACAGATCAATGGAAAAGCTCTCAGCCTCACTCCAAGACCAAACATATTACTTTGAAGCAACTTGGACTCCTCTACTTGGGGCATTACGTTTACGAACACCTCCACCTGTGAGCCAATGCTCTCAACTCAACTAGTGAATCAACTACAAAACACTTCTCACTACCATCATAACAATAATCACCATAACTATTAGCACTACTACTTTGTAGCTGCTAATTTGATAAAACTATCTCCCCTAATGTTTTTTTGTCTTGTTTTGTTCACACGCACACAGCAATGACATCCTCTCAGGAAATTGTTATCCTTGTTCTGTTTTCATGGCTTTTTGTAAAAGACTGCTTCAACTGCATCTTCTCCCCTTCCAAGCATTAACAAACTTTAGAACAAGAACACACATTATTTCATTTCAAACATCGACTGCACATGTAACAGAGCTGAGACAAGGTTGCACGACTGTCACAGCAATTATTTCCCTAGTGTTTGACAATTACCTGATACCAGAAATCCTTATCTTTGTAAGTAGGGCAGGTTCATACTTGTAGCCTAAGCAAACTCTGCCAAGACCCTCCCAACCCAAACACACACACACACACACACACACACACACACACACACACACACACACACACACACACACACACACACACACAGAAGGGTAGATAACCCATAGCTGTGGGTGCAGACTATACATGATTGGTTAAGTGGCCTATGCAAATAGTCATTTAGTCTTACATCACTAAACATTATAGTTCATACACAATGACTGTGAGAATTCAGTCAGTTATTAATAACTTCAGTCTTCTGTCTTCAGTAATACTGTGACATCTGACTGTGTTTGTTAACATTGTGCTTACTGTTTTAAAAAACAAAAAAAACAAAGCAGTCCTGTGTAAATGGGGTTACTAAGAATTATTATAATGTTTTTTAGCTGTCAAGGCCTGTGTCCTTTTTGGAGGCAATGACGGACAGCTTAAAATCAGTTATGGTGATGAGGACGAGGAGCTGGAGGAAAACAGAGCAGTAACCGGCAAAAAAAAAAAACAACAACAAAGCTGGCAGGTACAGGTCCAATGTGCAGGACTGGGTAGTCAATCATATTATGCAGTACCACTGGTCTTGAGTATTTAAACTTGATGGCTGCAGATCTCTATCATCAGCAGAACCCAGCAGTTGCAGACAGCCCCAGTGACAGTGACTGCTGACAATCCTGGAGCTCAGTAAATGTGAGTAAAAAAAGAGAATGAGTAACTACCCTAATGAGTCCTAAAGATTCCATTCAAAGGCATTGACAATTCAGCTGGTGAATGAGAGCTTTGGGGGAAGCAGCTGTCTGAGTAAACCTAGATTACATTAAAGACATGTTTACTCTTTTATCATGTGCTACATGCACATAACAGCAAACAGAGCAGAGGAAGGGGAAAGGGGCTTTTCTGGAATTACACAAATCAGTTTTTCAACAAGCCTTGATTTTTACAAGCTCTCACATCAAGTCGACATGCTCTTGCTCGATGCAACACTATTATCTTCATAAAAAAACTGCGGCTGGAGACTACAGAACCTGAGAAACAGGCTGGTACTGCTGTATCTGTGTATGTGTGTAAATGGTAAATTGGAAATGGACTTGAGTTTATGTAGCGCTTTTCTAGTCTTCTGACTACTTAAAGCGCTTTTGCAACGCATGTCACACCTACACATTCATACCCATTCACACACTGATGGCAGTGGTTGCGATGTAGTGAGACCATCAGAAGTAACAAATCCCATTCATAAGCCGCCGACGAAGCAGATGGAGCAATTCGGGGTCAAGTGTCTTGCCCAAGGACACAGCGGACATGTTGCCGCAGGAGCTGGTCATCGAGCCCTTGACCTTCGACCTTTCGGTTGAGAGACGACGACTCTACCAACCCGTGTGTGTGTGTGTGTTTCAGTTCATCTATGTATGTGTGGGCCTGTGTGACGTTGTGAAAGGGAAGTGTGGGAACACAGCAAAGAATTCAAGCTAATTACGTTGAAAATCAGGAGAGGAGTGTTCAACTGGCAAATGTTACAGCCACCCGAATAGCTCTAGAAAGGACCTGACACACCAACTAGATCGTTGGCCGTCGGTCCCAGTTGGACCGTCAGTGAGTGGTCGTCGACCTAGTTTTTGCGATATGACGCTATCTGTCACCCCCCGTCTGCCTTTTTTTCGCTGATTCGACATGTTGAATCGACATCAGCGGTCGGTGAGAGGAATCTCTCTGATTGGCTGTTCGGAGGTTTCATATATCTCCAGGTCTCGATAAAGGTTCGGGAAAGCCCCCTGAGCATGCTGCTGTAGTATCCAAACGCCACAGGCTGCCTTCGTCGCCATTAGTTCTTTGCCGTCTGCTTGGTGTGTCAGGGCCTCAACTTTGTATTCATGACCAAACTCTGATGTGTGCTTTGCAACAGAATACCCAACTAGTGACTGGCTGATGTTTTTCAGGCTGTTGTGCTTCACTGGGTTAATGCAGGTTGGAATGTCAGAGGGAAACCTTTGAGAGGTTCCTTTGGATAGAGTACCACTTGTCATGTCCAAAAACAACATGCTTTGTGTGTATGTGTGTGTGGTCACTGGGTCAATAAGTCATGGGACCCTCTCTGATCTTTGTAGGGTTTCCGCCCTGCTGCAGAGTGGTACCAGGATATGACAGGACTGGGAGGGGCAGTTCTTGGCCTCCCTGACCTCCTCTAATCTCCCTTGTCAACTAAAGCCCCTAATCCTGTCTGTCCCTCCAATCAGTTGCACACCCTCTACTTTGTCTTCTGATTCACAGAAAAGAGACTTGAGCCTGACCTCACCTTGACTAGACTGTCAAGGTGTTACAGAACAGAAGTTAATGCTGTAGTGTAAACTACAAGATTTTTTAAAACTACTTTTAACTTCTAATTAATGATGAGCTTCTCCAATGTCCCAGAGCGACATTAATCTTAAAATTACAAAATTCTTTGTCAAATTATCAGTGCAATACTGTATCCATGCATATATCTGGTATCATCTTGCATTAAGCTTGAGCACAGGCTTCTTGGATGCTCTGTTAGTTCTATAAATTGCACAGCAAGACATAATATTTTTCCAATAGCTGCACGAAAATGCCCAAAAGGTGTTAACTTAAAGGGTCAACTTAAGGGGTTAAGTTGAGTAACGGAATTAGTTGTGTTGACATCAAGTAGACAGGTAGTAGCAAACACTTGTCAATCAAAACAACCATGCCCCTAAGTATGGGTAACTTAAACACTGAATGTCATTTTAACATTTAAAATTCCCCCTCCTGTACACTTTTCATGCAAAGAATCAAAATTATCTTTGTACCAATCTGTTAGCATGTTACAGTAAATTATGAAGTAAAATTGGCAATTTTTATATGTAGCCTAAAGGGAATACTTTTAAGCAAGCCTCAAGGAGTCTTTTAAATTGGCAATGCTGTCGTGGCTTTATTTATCAGCCCCAGAGGGTACTATTAGGGTCACAGCTTTTAAAGTGCTGCAAAGCATGCTGGAATTTCACTTGCGTGCTGTGACATAACCCCCTATAGCATCTTACTACTCCTGCCACCCCCATGTGATAGGATCCCCTTTTGGAAATTTTAAGTAACCACAATCCGATGCTTTTACAATTATCCTGGCAAACATTATATGCAGTGCAGACAAAAGATGTGAATGCCCTCTCTTATCTAAAAGTATAGCAGAAGAAAGACTTACCTCCGCTAGGTATGGAAGACACATTACAGCAAATCATTTACCATTTGTGTTAGGTTGCATCAAGATGTGACACACAATAGAAACAGAGTTGAGTAAAGAACTGCAGACACAAATGCACAGTTAATATAAAGGGATGGTTTTTTTAAAGTGGGGTTGTATGAGGTACTTGTCAATAGTAAGCGTATTAGCCACAGGAGATGAAGGTCAGCGTGGCCCCTTTATTGCCAAATTGTTCAGAGTGCAGAAGTAATAGGCTATAAATACTTGCATTTTTCTTAGTCAACATTCTTAGTCTATGTTATGAATTTTATGAATATGAACTAAAATTACAAATTGTTCAAATATTGCTGAAAACAGTATACAGTGGGGAGATCAGTTACTTGACTACACACAGATCGCTACTCAGGGCTAAGGCTGCTTATATATATGCCCAGGTATAGACTATGGGCCAGATGCACTAGAATGGATTGCACCCGCTAACAGAGATCAACAGTGACTTCCGCCTTTTCGGCAGCTCTGGTTCTGGAAGCAAATTTCCTCATTCAAATCCTCCATTGAATCCTTATACCAAGAGATTGAAGCCCAGGAAGTGCAGTAGCCCAGTCTGTAAGGACTTGGGTTGGGAACCGGAGATTAGCCTGGTAGCTGGAGAGGTGCCAGTCCACTTCCTGAGCACTGCCGAGCTACTCTTGAGCAAGGCACCGAACCCCAATAACTGCTCTGGAGCGCTCGCTGTGGGCAGCCCCCTCGTGTGTGTATTTCGGGCCTATGTGTGTGTAGCATGTTCATTAAACAGAGTGTAAAACCGAATTTCCCCTTGTGGGATTAATAAAGTATAGATTATTATTATCAAGACCACCAGTCTGGAACCAAGACAACCAGCTACCCCAGTACTTGTGACTTTTTATTTACTAAGACACAGCTGGGGTTGGACTTGCGCTCATGTAACTTTTCTACAAATGTACCCATGTACACATGGAACACACACATAGGGCCTTTATGAAAAACTGTAACATAAATAAATATGAGGCGCACTGAGGCACAGCAGCAGAACTGAGCGGTTGAAGGGATGAGTTAGGATCCAATCCATCATCCTTAAATTCAAAGAAAATGAGGCTGTAGTAAACTTTGTTCACTTGCTGATGGATCACTGGTTTATATTCTGTATTACTTGCTTATTGGACACTCAAGAATATCACAACTATTTGTGGGAATGGTCATTGGGGATACTGGCAGATATGTAAAGGCCTAAAATATACATTTTGTATGTGAAAGGGTCTAATATGGCAAATAGCTGAGTGAGTGTACAAGAGGAGAAGCTTCTTTTCCGTCTCTATGTACTTTAGGCCCGTGCAGGGCTCCGGCAGGATTTCCTGAGGTGAAGCAAGCGTAGGAGGGGGTAGTGTTGAGTGTATCCTTGACTTCTTGTATCACCAAAACAGCTGAACAATGCCAAAAGCAGTAAAATGATGTCTAGAGACAGAGGAAACAGAAGGTCACCTTCTCTTAGTCATTTGCCCCATCAAAACTCCATGTGATTTCTTTCAGAAAGTAAGTGATAATTAACCAATGAGAAAGAGCTCTGCTGCACGTGTCTGTGTGTGTGACAATCACAGTGGGAGTGCAAACCCACCTTCAAAAGTGTAATGATTTGTTAAATAGTGATAGGGATAAAACAAATGACTTGAGAACAGGTTTCTGTTAGTCAAAGGTGAAGTTGCTTTCTGATGACAGCAATGTACCACATTTGGTATTCGCCGTGTAAAACTAGTGACTGTGCCAGTCTAAAACTAGTGATGCTGTTTCACCCTGAATTGCACCAGGAGTTAGATGAAGCCCAAACTGTCTTTGAAAGGACTGAGCTCACATACTCAGTCACTCAATCTCTCTCACACACACACACACACACACACACACACACACACAGGAGCCACAGTTTGCAAACAAAAGGCTTTTCATGTCTTTGCTTGAACTGTGTTATTAGTGCAGTTTCCTGTTTTTACATCTGACCTCAGTAATAATTGTGTAGGTCTTACTCAAAGGCATACAAATCCAAGTTAAAGCTTTTATAACCATTTTAATCAAATTGAACTGAGGAGACACAGAAGGAAAGGGTAACAAAACATCATTAACCAGTGTATCTGATACAAATACCACACTTTAGATATTGTGTCATATATCATTTAGTCTAGTCTACTTTTGCCATTAACTGATTTAGCTATTTAGATCAACCAAATGACAGGAAACGGTTGCTAAAAAGTTCGAAAAACATAAAAAGAAACTTGAACCAATTCCACATGTGCTCCTGAAAAATTGAATAAAATATAAAACAGGCTGCCCCTAACTAGCTTGTTCAGAGGCACCTCACATCCAGAGGCTATCCCTGTTGAGTAGGGGGTGAGCAGGAAACATTCCTGGTAAAGTGTTGTTTATGGGGTAAGGAACATGCAAACATTTCATTATGTTGTCTCTAAATGTAAAGCTCGTCTGAGGAACTTTTGATTTGTGTTGATCTTGTCGCCCCCTGCTGACTAGGCAGTGCACATTTTATCTCTGCTGTACTGTGTAATAAGTGTTTTCTGACAAAAAACAAAAAAACAAAACCTAATCCATTGTCTTTTTTACAACAGGAGGACTCTTTGACTCTTACTGAATCTGGGCTTCAGAAAAAGTAAAAAAAAAAAAAAAAAAAAAAAAAAGGCTTCAGGTCTAAATCAACCCCTTTGTCTGATTCCTCCCCTGCAGCAGCATTTACAGGCATTTAAATAACTTAATGAAATAAAAAGTCTTCTGAAGAAATCTCTTTTGTAGCTCATACAGTCATATTAATTTCAATGTGTTTCATTACCATCCTCCTCGCAGGAGCGTTAATGTCCATTGATAATATGTAGTAGCACTCCAACAACAAATATCCTACGAATGATATTGAATGCCATGTTTCTATTAGTTTTTATTATTTTCTTTTTTTAGTGTTTTGCACACTTAACAAAAAAATATTGGAAAAAAAAAGAAAAGAAAATCAACTTCACAAGAAAGTGCCAGTTAATGCTCCAGTAGCCTGTGGCCACGAAGCACACACGAGTTATCCTTATAGACATAATAGGTTAGATTTGACATCCAATACTTGATTTAGGATAGCCTACGTGCCAACAAAGCAGAGATCAGTGATGGAATTAAAGATAACAGCCTACATACCTTCAAAATCTGATAAAATCCCTTCGAGGTGGTCATTCACGGAAAGTTCCGACATGATGTCTCTGTGCTCAGCGTCCGCTCCGAGCCAGACGAGACCTGGACTACTTTACTCTACAAAGAACGACCCTGTTGAGGAATAACTGCAGTCGATGATGTGTTCCTCCTGCTGTGTTCCTCCTGCTGTAAGGCTGCTTGGATGACCTGATAAACGATTACTGTCCAGTCGCTGCTATGCGTCTCCTCAATGTCCCAACGAAGTCGAGTGTGGGGGAGTTGGCGTGTAGGTAACCCAGCCCCCCCCACCCACCCTCCGGTCTCTCGCACACAAGACCCGGGGGGGGACAGGTGGCGGAGGAGGGATGACTGGGGGCGGGGACGAATGCAACACCTGGAAAAAAAAAAAAAAAACCTTACTGAAATGTTCTTCTCTTCGCTTTCTCTCCTGGCTGTTTTTTTGTCTCTGTCCAAACTATTCATATTGACAGAGAATGCAACCAGAACAAAAAAGTGTAGTCCGAATCAGCCCACCATACAGCCCCTTTCCAACCCTGAACAAAACTGAAGTTTCAGAATCAGAAATACTTTATTAATCCCAGGGGGAAATTCGGTCATTTATCCAAGTAATTCAGTAGCTTAATTATCCGGGAATTCATCCCAAGTGTTTTTAGTTTTTTTTAGGTAGGCTTATAAAACGTCAAAATTTCCGAAAATAAAACCTGAAGTTCTTCAGACCTGACGTCTTTTAAACCCTCTCCATGATTTTCACCTTTGTATAACCTTAACCACCCTCTCTTTATGCAGGTCCTTTGAGACAGACTACTTTGTTTTTTTTTCTTTGCTGGTTGGCTTCTCTATAGCACGCTCTTATAGGCCAGCTTATCAGATTCAACAAACTGCATGTTGAAGTAGGCTAATTCAATTGTTAAGTCCACTTCACTTTACAACAATGTTAGAGGAGAAGAAGCCACTTATATAAGGTGAGGAGACAGAAAAGCTAGATTTGTAAATTTACAGTGGGCCTATTCAAAGACGTTATAGACACCAGGAGGATTCGGATGCCGCGACTGAATCACTTGAGGGTATTAGTTTGGCCCATGGCTCCATTCAGACTGTAAGACATCGAACTCAGGTACTCAATGCAGTGATCGTATGCTTTCCAAACGTTGCCTCACCTCATTAAAAAAAATGATGTCCTTGTGAGAATATTGTCCTTAATGTACATATGATTGAATTCTTGTAAGTGCTTTCATGAAAACATGCAGAGCACAAACTGTTGCAAATAGTTCACACTCATGTATTGCAAAGGTTCCTTAAAAAAAATGACTCTCAGGGAAGCTTTCCAACATTTCTGGGGGTGGCAGAGTTTTTGCACTCAAGTAGCCCACTGACCCCCCTCTATCCCCCTTCCCGCCCACACACACACACACACACACACACACACACACACACACACAAATTCCAGCCCCAGCCTCAGTGCAGATCATGAAAAGCCACTTTGACATTAATCTTCCCTGGTTCAAAGCCACAGGGCTAATGAGATCCCCTCAGTCGCCATTCCTAACAAGTGGGAATGCATGTGGTTGCACGTATGACAGTAAGAAAGACAGTAAAAAAAAAAACTTGAATAATGAATACATGGTAGAATTAGAATAATAATAAGGTGTTCATTTGTGATCAGATCACATTTATTTGGGTAAAATGCAGGAGTACAGATACTTAAACATGTATTCCAGTCCAAGGGTTGGTATGTGTTACGTGGGACACAATGTGGTAGCAGTGGGAATTTAGTCACATGCATCTTCCATTGTTTCTCTCTCACCCAGACCACTTTATTAGCCTGTTTCCTGTGATACGCTTGATGGTTCCAGACAGTGAATCTGTGTATACATGTGTGTGTGTGTGTGTGAGAGACTACAAGGGTGTGTGTGTGTGTTCGATCGTGCTCCAACTTGCCTGAGGATATCTTCTTGCATAGTGGTGGATGTCTGCCCTGCATTCTCAGGGCAAAAATATTGAGGCACCACATACCGAAGCAATTCAGATAAAAAGGCCCACACACATGATGGAATTGTTAGCATGAGCATTAGCTCAGAGGAAAAGTTCATGCCATACAGAATAGGACATGACTTCACAGACCAGCTTCAGTGCAGATTTTGAACGTGTGACTTGACTAGTTTGTTTAGTTGCTCTTCAAAGTGTTTAAGCCATGGCCTAAAGTGCCTGGTGCTAGTGCAATATTGGCGTGTCCAGCTCCACTCTGCTAGTTTGATAGCACATAATCCTGGCATGAAGTCTAACAAATGGTGCAAAAGGGAGAAAGGGAGAATGGCACAAATATGTTACTGTAACAAAAAACATTAACCACTTTGTAAATCTACTCTGTTCATATGATTTCTTTCATTTAATGGTCAAACATTTGCATTAATGTCTATACAATCACCTTAAATGTATGTCCCATCTACATAAAGTTCCTTGCGCACATGTCTAATCTTGTTGCTGGTAGGGCGTATGGAAAAACCATGCACCAACTACCAAGTGATTTAAAACCTTTTTCTTTTTCCTGTAATTTTGTCTTCTATGGGGGGAAATGCATTCTCAATCTAAACCCTTGGAATGGAAACATTTTCTATGAAACATCCATTTTCAACTCTGTTTATCATGTCGACTTCAAAGACTTTCAGGAGCATTAAAGAAGTGCCTTTGAGAACTTAATTGTAGGTTTTATAAAACGCAATTCATAAACCAGGAGGGTACTTTAAATGCTACACCTTTAACGTTTAGGTCTAATGTTACACCCCATCTATAAGGGTTTCAACACAACATGAAAGTTAAATAGTTTATTGCTCCATGGTCCTCAAACCAAGTGTGAACCCATCATTAGCAAATGAATGAATTGATTTATTACACCACAAAATGTGGCAATAAGTGAAAGAACTGAGAGTTAACCAAGGCATAACAACAGCAAACATAATCTAACTCCATATGTCCTTAGCAGAGGGGGTACACAGGGACCCACTGAAGCTACATACCTATTACAGATCAGTGGGTGGGACCTCACTCCCAGAATCGATACTCATCGTCCGCCATATTGCTTGGTAGCTATGCGAACAGGTTCTGTGGAGAAAGTTGAGAAGAACGAAAGTATGATAAAAAATATGTTTGAACTTCAAACTGATATGGATGAAATTTTGAAGTCTTGTGATCGAATTGGATGTTCTTGGCTTTCTCTACGAGCTGCAATATAGCGACAGGCAGCAGCAGCCGAGGCACGAGACCTGAGTGTAGGCACGGTGAGGACAAGGAGCCCAATACAGATTCATGTTTCAACGGGTGAAGTATCCCTTTAAGTATTTTATATACATTTTATGAGGCAGAGGACAAAACTGAGAAGCTGTAGACAGCTTGCTGTCTTTGGAACCCAGAGCAAGTTCAGCCCAGACAGAATGTTTCTTTTAATAGAAATGGTGACGCACTGAGCAATTTATATGGTAACCTGTTTAGTAAATCACAGCATCTGTAACGCTTCAACACCAAGAGTACAAACCCCTTGAGACGTGTCATATTATTTTCAAGGGAATCCTAAAGGACATGTACTAAAGTGTACTCATATGTGGTAATATAAAATAGCATATTTCAGATTCAATGTTCGTAGGCTATTTTGAAAGGCAAGATGTTGAATGATGTTGAACCAACCATCATAAGACGCTCAGGCCAAAACTACAAATCAGTCCTGTCATTATCAGGTCTGAGTCATGAGCATTTGCGTCTCATAAGCCGTTTTCACATCTGCTTTCCTGAAAATTTCCTGAGACTTTCAGGAGGACTGCCCCTGAAATCCTCCTGATCTGGTTGTTCACACATGCACCTCACATTGTGCACTGGGAGCAGGGCCTGCTCCAGCCATTTTGGTGCCCTAGGTGAGATTATGGGGGAAGGGGTTCAGTGGCGCCACTCCAGCATGTGGCGCTCGAGGCGACTGCCTATATGGCCTATGCCCTGACTGGGAGGGCCAGACAAATAGTAGCAATTTTAGGTATGTGTATCTAGTGATACTGGTTGATTAATATTCCTTCAGGATAGGTTTCAGTACCTAAGAGAGGGAAGCTGTCTTTGCAGCCTTTTCATTTTCTAGTACATGCATACAAGTAATATTCCTTTCTAGGTGCCGAGTTTTCAAAGGTGTCTGAAAGTGTCTGTGTCACTTCACCATCAACAAGCCAGACATTCATCAGTAAGACAGCTATGACACGGTGGAAGCTTAAATGGTGATGTCCCAAAGATAAACGCAACATTAGTTAGTAAGTATGTCTATTACTGTGATCATAACACCTGATAGTGTTTTTGTTGTCTTTTCACGTGTCAGTTGCTTGATTCACTGAGGCCAGAGGTCAGTACACATCACATACCTGTCTCAAGAGTTACTACAGGCTGAACCCTCAGGCATCTAAGGGTAAAAGTCAAAGGTTAACTGTTATGAAATTGAAAATAAGCTTTAAATTGAGGTGCAGTATTAACGCAAATGTCAAGAAATGAATGCAGTCAATGAGGGCTGCACAACAAGTAAATGGATCTTGTCAAAATAAAAGTGATAACAACTGAATATAGTCACTATGAAAGAATGTGTGGTAATACACCTGCTGGTCACATTTCTTCTGGATATATGTGACAACAGTCTGTCATCAGACTGTCTTGCTGTCTGTCTTTTCTGAAATAGAAGAGCCTCAAAAGATAATCTGATTGTTTTATGAACTACTTTAATTTTGACAGATTTTACAAGACTATAAAACAGAGCTCTCTCACTCTCAACCCTCTTCATAAACACATTCACCCAAAATATACCCAACATTATTAAATTCTTCTGGGCAAAGTTACAATTCGATGTAGCCATTTTTTTTTTTTAGAACTGATGCAAACAAATAAAATATGTAGGTTTTAGTATTTACCCTCTATTGCCAGTCAGTCAGCCTAAACAATTGTGTATAAATGATCATTTTTGGTTCAGAGCAGCAAGACTCTTAACACAAAAATGTGATTTTGCCATCAACAGCGTACTAAGTGTGATGCTGAAGTGGTTAGAATAACAACGCTTTCTAAAGTTATTAAAAGAAAAACACAACAGTAACATTTTCTTCAGCCAAAATTCAAATCATCATAAATCATCCCTCAATCACATGAAACACTTTGCTTTAGATGTGACTTTTTGTGAAGGCATGATGTTCATCAGGAAATTCTTCTTTTCCAATTCCAATTTTTAGATGAAATGATCATTTCACATTTATTCACTGCACTGAGTATTATTTATGTTTACATGTGTAATGTTTATGTGTAACATTTTAGTTGCTAATTTATATTCTTTCGCCTTGTTGTTTGAGGAGGGACAGTAACCAGTCTGACAGTGTAGCATTACTCATGCAGCTTCAGCACCTGTAGCTAGTGTAATATCAGAGTGAAGTGCTGTGCTGTCTGGTCTTGCTATGCTGGTGTTGATTAGAGTTCAATAAAGACAACTGTTGGAAGAGATATGTTAACCTGCTTTTTACCCACAGTGAGATGAACTGGGAAAAAAAAAAACAAGAAACTATGAATGTGTGTGTGTAAATATTATGTAGCCAAAAGCTTTTTTTAAGATTTATTTTTTGGCCTTTATTGGAGAGATAGGACAGTGGATAGTCTCAGAAATCATGGAGGGAGAGAGAGAGAGAGAGAGAGAGAGAGAGAGAGAGGCTGGATTTGAACCTGGGCCGCCAGCTTGGAGGACTACAGCCTCCATACATCAGGCACGCATACTAACCATTGTGCCACCAGCGCCCCAAACGGTGCCTTTTAAGTATGTAAACCATTAAACTATAATTTCTAAAGAGACTAAAGACTATATAAACTTAAAAAACAAGCATTCAGAAATCATGAGGGGAAAAGGTGTGGCCTAGTAGTCTACTTTAATAGTCACTGCAATGATTATTTTTCAACAAAACTTACTATCAACATTCCATACATAGGTTCCATACCATGATTGAATATCAAAAGGAAAGGTTTGGGCATACAAAGCATCCAATGAAAAACATAAATAATATACATTATGCAACTTCCTGTACCCAGAGATAATAGATTTAGACAAGGTGTTCAACCTGAAAAAGTTCCCCCTAGCAGGAGTCCCCTCGACATTCCATTGTTTGTCTACTAGGTCGATGAAATAGATGGTAGCATAAATGGCTGGATGGCTCATTTGTGCCTCTTTTTTTTCCAGGGTCAATACTGAAAGACCAAAATAAGGAGCTTTATTCCACTTAATGCTTAACAGTTTGCAAACAAGCAGCATTTCTAAGTGAAGATTACATTTTCATGTTGAGTTTATTTATAATGTAGGCCTAAGTGTATTACTTTCAAAATGTCTATTAGTTTCAATGACCAGAGGAACCAGGATGTATTAAATTATTTCTTTCCCTCAGTAACTTCGGTTTTTAAGCATAATCTTTTCTTCTCCCAGAATGTGTTTTATATTCATCACCTGACATGTGTGCCAATCTATTTCTGTTACAACCTGCATCATTTCATTCAATTATAAAAAAAATAGCACTTTCTTTCTTTCACCATATGTCTTTATGCATTCCTCTATTCTCTAGAACATTTTTTGCAGTTTTAACAGTGAATGAAGCAACTTTTTATTGTATTCAATGACGACAATACAGGTACAACTCATAAGTTTACATAATGTGTAAAAAAAGCCATGTTCACAGGGTGCTCTCCCACAGCCCTGTTGCTACCAGATCTTCTTCGAATTTGACTGTTTGTTTTTGAGACGCATCTTCAGGGCCAGGAGGTCAATGTAGAGGGTCTGATTGAGGACAGCAGAAGCACACAGTAGCCCCCCGTGCAGAGCCCCAGCCATACCATTACAGAATACGTCCTGACCTGCACACAAACACAAACATTAAGCATGGTGCGTCTGTTTCAGTCTGTTGAAACTAATGTACATATGACATCAGTCAGGTCACCTGTTAGGTACAGTCCATCGATGGGTGTCTGTGGACGTGTCCTAGCAATTGTTTCTGGGGTGAAACGCTCCAAGTTGTGTTCAGCACCATACATCTCTCCTCTTGGAGCACCCAAATAATGGACATTAGTTAGAGGAGTAGCTGCATCAACCATCACCACCTGAAAAAAACATTTATGCAGATTTTGTAGGATTTTCATAGAATTTAAGTTTCTTCAATTTTCACTGCATGCAGCAGAATCTGTGATAATAAATGATGATCAAGTCAACAGCAATATTTTAGACTGGTAACATGCGATCATAGAAAACCCATTCATTTTATATTTTGATTCAGTAATGTTTACATACTGTATAAAACAATTCTTGTATGTTCTTGAGTGTTTTTGTAATATACCCTGGCCTTTAATAGCAGGTTGACAAGTGACACCTTTGCAATTGTCATTTTACCAATAAAAGGTCATGGGGTATGTCAAAATCCATACAAATGTTAGTAAACATTGTCTTAAGAAAAAAAATACTATAAAAATCTAAGGTCTGGGGGCAGAGAAACAAAATTAAAAATAAAACTGGAAAATTATATTCATAGCAATTGTCTGTTGATAAAGCTTGCATATTAACAAATCCTATAATCCATGATATTAAAATGAATTATCTAAAGAAATTTAAAAAGTATAGCTAAATAGGCCAACTTAAAGCAACTATTTTCAATGTTAATGTTGCTAATGTTCATTTTAACATTCAACTTCAAACAGTTTAACTTGAACCTATAAATCATGGCTAGCTACATCAGATACAATAATGCTGGTCTGAGTTGTGTTTTATCATTTATTTTCATGGCTTATTTCTATCAGGAAAGAGTAAGTTTAGCTTCTCCTTCCAAAATAATACAAAAGGACTACATAGCTGGCTCCCTGGGGACCCCAATACAAACAACAGTAAGAACAACTATCAAGGCAAAACGTTAACCTACTTCTTAAAACACTTAAAAGTGAACAAATTGATGATATTTACAAATACCAGATATTGTTTTAGTTAAGTTAACTTATTTGCAAATTGTATAGAGGGAGGTTGAACTGTGTCTGATGCATCTTTGCTAGTGTGGTTGAAAATAGTTGAGTGACCCCCATAAACTTGTTCTTCTGCATTAGGTCCCTCACTAGGACCCCAATGAGATTATTATTTTAAAATAGCAAAAAAAAATTAAAAAGATCTGGGTATAACAGTTGTTTAGATCAGCTAGGTAGGCATGGATGGAGGAATCACAAAAGGGCTAAAATGTAGCTGTATGCACAAGCACACATTTATCCAAATACAAACACTGACAAACACCTTGTCTTGCAGTTGAGGGAAAATTGTTAGTGCCCAGTCCAGCATCTCCTGGGCCATGCTGTCTTTCAGACTTTTGTAGTCCTCTCCCCTTTTGCCGAGCTTTGTCCCCTCCCATTCTTCGAACCACTCATAGCGTGCCATGGTCAGCAAAGTCATACAGGACTTACCTGCAAAGAGATGCACAGGGAAATGAAGAAAGAATGTGACAGCTTATTAAACATTCAATCATCTTACGAAGACAACTTTTTCACATCAAAAAGAAGCTGATTATAGGTTACCTTAAACCAGCCTTTACCAAATTTAAGACTGACGCGGCCCGCTTTGAAATACAAAATTACTCCAGGGCCAATTATAATTTTTTTTTATGACTACAGCTTTAACTTTCAGTAAGGGTAAATTATTGGACATTACAACATGATTTTATGGCAAGATAGACACAAAAGTTTAGTAAACATGTCCATGAATAGTCATGACACACCTTACTAATAACTTCAAGGGTTGACTCATGGTAATCATTTTATTTTTGAAATTGGAGGTCTTTTCGCGGCCCACCTGCAGTACCCACACAGCCCACCAGGGGGCCGCAGCCCACACTTGGGCCCAAGCACTGCCTTAAACCATTATGGGTAGCCCAAGAAAACAACAAAACATCAAGTACAAATTTTACCTCCCAGGTACTGACACAAATGATTACAGTGGTATTTCATTAGTTGTATAACTCTGCCTTCTTTTTGGTACCAACATGCACTATCAATAACAAGCATTACTTTTTAGCTTGAAGCAGACAATGAAGCAGCCTGATGGGGATGCTCAAATCAGACAGTGGCATCAGTGAGGGCAGTCATTTAAAGAAGGAAAACATCAACAGCATCTACATCCTAGCCAACTACTTTTGATTAACTAATCATGTGATTTATTCAAGAATACATTCAGAAGGTTGATCTGAAGACAGAGCTTAAAGATGGCAAGGCAGTCAAAGAAGACAAATGTGATACTAGATTTTAAACTAACAAAAACTTATTTAAAAAAAAAAATTACAAAGTATAAACTTAGTTTTGAATATAGGTTCCAGCTTCTGTCAACCAAGTCAAACACCTCCCTCTGTTGTGTTAATTTGCTTTATACTGAACACTTAAGGCAGAGTGTTACACATTGCTCAAAACCTCACTGATGTTGTACTTGATGTCAGAATTCATTCATCTAGTCCATTTAGATTATTGGTCAAGACTAATTGATGTATAATGTGAGTTACCTGGTTGTCTGATGCTGGATGTAGGATCTTTGGCAGATGGAAAGGTGATGAACATCATGGGAATGTTGCCCAGTACCTCCTCTTTGCTCAATGAAGAGTATTTCTCCATTCTTAACACAATGAGTAAACAAAAACGTACACAAACACAAGGTTAGCAAGTGGAGCAGGAGCAAAAGTTGATGTAATACAAAACACAATAACATGGAGAAAGGGAAATGTTAATTATGATGAAATGTGGGTTTTACCTAAGATCTCTGAATTTGCACAATAACTTAAATATGACAATATATTCAGTAATAGCTCAATGATACAAGAAGTCTAAGGATTGAAGAATATATAAGACACCTACAAATACATAACTGTTTTTTTTTTTAAACTCTTGTTTTTGGTCTGTCTGCCTTTTGTGAGGTATTTGTTGTTGTTGGCCATGAAGTGTACATTTGTTATATAAAAACATGAAAAATACATATACAGTATATATAAAAACTTACAGTACATCCAAATCATTGTCTTTGTACATCCAGAAGTTGGTGGAAACAATCCCAAGCTCCTCTTTTGTTCCATCAAGTCCAACAAAGACCAGGAAAGAGCCCATACCATGACGCACCATACCCAAAAGTGATTGGATCTCTATTCACACAAGGAAACATGCAGAGGACAGAACAGATACAGGGACCATTAAGTTGTTGCAGCCAAAGTCCACAGGGTATGAATGAATTATATTGACTCTTATTAATGACACTGAAACCTTTTCATGAGTAACTTTTAACAACAAAATTGAGCTGATCCATTTTGTACCACCTGCAACTTAATGATTACTTTCAACACTTATATTAATTTGCTGAATATATACATACATACAAATGAAAATAACAAGTAAATAGCTGATAGCAAAAACAAGAATTGGTAGAGAAAGTTGTATTTAAAGTTATAAAATCTGTGTAGCAGAGTAAAAATTGGCTGACACTAAATGAGTACCTGTGATTTGTTCTTAAGTTCTAATTCTTTCACTACTAATAAATGTGTACAGTTATTCTGTGCGTTGATTGGCTCTGCCTCTCCAAAATCTCTCCTTCAACATCCTTTTCGTCCTGCCTGTGGTGCAGCAGACTAGGGTGAAGCTGCATCTTCTTGATCATTTCAGCCTCCCTATAAGAAGAGTTGTGTGGGTCTCAGTGAGGCTGCTTCTTAACTGGTTCTTGTGTCAGGTCTCCGAAGTTATTTAAAATGTTAGAGCTATATCAGGGCTGGAAGAAATGCAGCCATGCACCTACTGTTTGTATTCTATTTTACATTATTAGTTATTCAAAGAAATTCATTCCAAGGACTGGCTTAAAAATATGCAATTATCAGTTCCACTTTAGTGATCTGCCATTGTACATTTAAAAAAATACAATTTCAGATAACAACATTAAATAACAAGTCTAGCACATTCTGTATTACCTGGTTTGTGTTGTATGTGCTTGGGCAGAAATTTCTGGAAGGTGTTGAAGATTCCCGCATTGGAAATGACAATCGGGGCACGGACTTCAATCTCCTCTTGTCCTTTTAACACTGTCACACCTTACAGACATAAACAAAAACTGATTATCTTAAGGAAAAATATTTTGATATATATAAAAAAAAGATAATTTCATAAAGGTTGTATGGTCTTTTGGGGTAAAGTAGAGTGATTCATTATAAAGGCTTGGTATATGCTTTTGTTGACAAGATTTAGCACTTCAACTTGAAGACATGCCTGAAAACAGTCAATCACATGGATCCTGTCCTATCAATATCTTTACTTGCAATTGACTTAAGACATTTCTCTGATAAAATATCTAAACAGGAAGTCAAATTAACAAAGAAAGTTGTGCACACATGCGTTCCAAATTCCACTTCATAAAAGTTTCTGTGTGCCCCTCTTTTTCTCACCATAGACCTTCCCCTGCTGGTTGAGCAGGACGCGCTGTACAGGGGCCCTGACAAGCACAGTCCCCCCTGCCTGCTGAATAACTGGGATCATGTGAAAGGCAAATTCACTGGCACCCCCACGTGGGTAGTACGCTCCACGCTTGTAGTGATGGAGAAGGAGGGCATTGATGAGAAAGCTGGACTCTTTAGGCGGAACACCTAAAATGAAATAATGAAGCGCAATAAGAGGAAAATGCAGAGCGAGTGTGACTGACATATGCAAGTTTGTGTTTTTATTACCATAGAAGAGGTAGGCGGACAGCGCCTTCAAGTCCTTGTTCTGTGTGAGGCGGGACATTACTTCTGAATGGTTGGTCGCTGCTAGGCGGAACACACATGATATGCGATGTAGTAGGCCTGTACGGACCAGAAAGTTAACCAGCCAATAGGGAATCATTTTCAGGATGGCAATGAGGGGTGTCCGTTTTGAGGCTACCTGCAAAATGAGGTAAATTATAAGAATCAGAGAGGTTCTAATATTTTAAAATATTTTTCTTAAAGAAGCATTTTAAGTACTTTCAGGCACCTGCTTACTGACATTTGCCTGGCAGTCTCAGCATGCCCTGCTTCCTCCACCTAATACTCTGGCTATCACAACAGAGCCACTTTTCAGAAGCGGGTCCGTCAAAATGTGTAGCCTGCTAAAACTAGTAGGCAGTTACTGTCTCTGTATTTCAGTTTTTAAGGTATGATGAAGAAACGTGATAAAACCTTTAAATACATTAGTGAAAAAGGACACTTTGGACTTCACCTAGTAAAGTGCTTTTCTAGTCTTCTTACTACTTAAAATGCTTTTCACACTGTGTCACATTCACCCATTAACACCACATTCACACGATGGCAGAGTTTGCTATGGGTCTTTTTCAAACCAGCCACTACACCCTCTCCCTACCCACTACCCCTCCGTTTGCGCGTCCTCGCGGAGGGTCCGCCATATAAAGTCCGTCCCAAACCAACTAGCGGGGAGTGGTAGTGGGTTATAAAACCCTCCACCAGCGAGTGTGCACCGATGCCGACTTTTGGATCACGTGCAACGCCTATTGTGTCCGGTCGTCATGGATGAAGCAACCTGTGAGTTCAAGTGTCTATAAACACTGCTCCAACTAAGATAGACATTTAATATCATCATACAGACGTTAACAACTTGTGTTAAGTGTTTTATATTTACAGGGACTGTTGCAAAAACAAAAGAATATTAAATCATGTTGCAGACAACTTTTTGCTGTTAATATTTATTTCTTATTTTTCTACTTTTGATGTCTTTGTGAAATCTCAATTCAACAACAAAAAATACATTTTTTGCTGCTCTGATGTTCAACAATATTATCCTTGTCTTTGCATTAATTGAGGACACCCTGTTCTATGAAATTACAATAAATATAATGAAATTATAAATCACAATAAACAATGTAGGCTCAATCTAATAGTTTTGCTATAAGTCTACACTAATATAACTTACTAAAGAAGAATAATCTAAGATACATCAATATTTTTACAAAATGAATTAGCTAGCTACAAAAAAAAAAAGCCGTTCTCGCAAGATACCGCTCAGTAACCATGGTAACAAACAGTTCCCGTTTCCACCTGAGAGAGGGAAGTTTTTCCCAAAGCCTGCCGCTGTATTTCTACCCTACACCTTGATGAAGGGGTCTTCATTCAGCTGCGAGTGTGACTTCTAACAGAGTGCACTCCGTCACGGAGGGGGAGGGTGTAGGGGTTGGTTTGAAAAAGGGCCTCTGTAAAGTGTCCATCAGTATTAACTAATCCCATTCATATGCATTACCATGCTGCCTACACAGCAGCAGGAGCAAGTGTGAGGTTCACACTCAAAGGAAACTTCAACATGTGCCTGCAAGAGCTGGGGATTGAACCCCGGCATCCCAGTTGAGAGACTACCACTGAGCCGCAGCCGCTCAGGTATGTTGGACATGAAGTAAGACAAAGAAAAATGTATAGGAGAGGATCTTTGAATTAACTACCTTGATTGTTCTATTAAACTCTGCCTACTGACTGTTTTATCTCCACTTTCCCTTTCATCTCTATCAATTAGTCACAATAATCATTACCTCCCTCCCATTCTACCTTCATCAATCTGGCAAATTCATCAATGGAGTCCTCTTCTCCTGGAAACTGCTTCTTCAGGCTAGCTGCCATCTCAGTCTTCCCTGCATGGATGTGATACTCCCTGTGAATTAGATAAATAAAAAGGGAAGATGGGTCAGAAAATGTGGAACATATTTTGATTAATTTGAAGACAGGTTATTTGCCCAGCGCAGATACTTTCAAATTAGCCTTATAGGAAATATTGTTCATTTTCAGGTTTTCTTCTGTTGTAGTTTATAACTTGTCATTTATACTTAATGATAAATAATGTTCTCATAAGCTATGCACAGCAAATACAGAAAGAAAATAAAACAATGATGAGAAGAAAGAAAGAATCAAGAACAACAGTTGTAAGACATGCCTTACCTGCGTTTGTCATGCTGACCCAGAATCAGTGTGTCAAAGTGCTGTTCCAGGCGTGTGAACTGTAGTTGTCCATCTGTGATCTGATCCAGGGCAACCTTTAACATGCTGTTTTCATGAAGCTGGCCTAGGTAATGAATACCTGTGGGTAACAGGAGAGAGATTTTATATTGTTAAAAACAACCCTGTCCTACAGTTTATAGCATAAGGAGTTACAGTTTTTATGTGTTATGTTCCCCCCCACATTAACATAACCATTGTAGTATAAACAATGTGAGTGAGTATTGTGGTCAGTCAGGTAAGACGGAGCCCTAAAATACTTCACTTGTTCTTATATCTAGAAGGCATTACATTAATACATTTGTTAATTTTTCTGTCTCTGGGTTAGATACAAGTCATCCACTGAAATAAATGTTGACACTTAAAGGCTCATTGTAGCTGCAGTGAAAGTATTTGCGTGTGTTTGTTTGCCTTCTTACCCACATCAAACTCGAATCCCTTATTCTGGAAGGTGTGAGTGCAGCCCCCCGCTTGATCGTGTTGCTCCAGAACTACAACCCTTTTCCCAGCTTTGGACAAAAGGGCTGCTGCAGACAAACCTCCCACACCACTTCCAATAACTACTGCGTCCAACTCAGGGGGAACTCTGTCTACACGAAACCCTGTGAGAAAGCACACATTACACATTTAGTAGAGGGTTGTGAGACTGGTTTAGAAAGATGTTTTCTTTACTTCTGTATAATTGATCAACTACATTTAATGGCTTCACATGATTCATAGACCCGTATGTTGACTGCAGTTATTCGTGGTATTTTTCAGACACAGTTTTTAGAATAACCAACACTACAAAGTGTTGTTGCTTCTGCAACTCAGCCTGGGTCCTATGGCAGGAGAAAATGATATACCATCTGAACCTAGAGAGGCCTTCACCAACTGCAGTTCAGAATTTTTCACTTCAGGGCACCATACAGTGATTAACTTATGTCAAAGAAAGCTTACAGGCTTGCATCTTTTAAAAAGTATTTACCTGGACCTACATATCTCAAAATCAGGTAAGGACTGGTAATTTGTTATTCAAGACATTGTCCCCTGCATCTGGTTGCATAGCAGTCATTGCTGGGCTCCTGAATGACAGAATTATGACAAAGGAGGGCGTCGATGTCAAGAGATCAGAGGAGCAGGGGAAATACCTTTTGGCAGCAGGGGGTGCTGCAGCTTCAATATTCGACAGCTTTACTCACCATCATGCAGCAAAAGTTGACAGAAGGGGAGGAAGTTGGCAGGGGGAGCGTATCGTCACTGGATATTGAGAATGATAATCTCTCTTATTTAATAAACCAAAAAAAAAAAATCAGCTTTTAGGTTTGTGACAATGCATTGCTAAGCTAGTCCAAGAGCTTTTATGGGGGGTTTTTATCTTTTTTTATTATATAGCATGTATATATAGAGAGAGTTGGTTGTTTCTCATCTGTAAGATTGGGGTTGTATCCCAGCTCCTGCAGTCACATGTCTAAGTGTCCTTAGGCAAACTGAAATCCCTGCTATGCCGGTAGTGTGTGACTGGATTAGTGCTGATGAGAAGTTTACATAGCAGCCTCTGTCATCAGTGTGTGAGTTGGTTAAAGTGAGATGGAGTGAAAGAGCAGTTGAGTGGTCAGACAACTAGAGTAATCCATGTCCATTTACCATGTACAAAAAATAATGACATTAAAATACCCAAACCTAATTTGAGAATTCTGGCACAATGTTTTGACAGGTTACTTATAAGTCTACTTGAGTTTGGATGTTTATACTTCATTACCCCCTCTGATCCCAATGGAGTCATTATAGAGGAAGTGAGACACACATGTCCTTGGCTCATAAAATCATTGTAGTATTTTATTTTATTTTATTTTTTTAAATAGTCAAGCTGGTTATCTAATGGGAGTACATGAAAGGTGTACTGGTAGGTCTTTGACAGATTTTGAGATACCGGTCTGGACCAAATTTCAAATCCAAGGCCCAGGCAGAAACAGCAGGGCTTCTCAGTCTCAGGTAATTAAAAACAGGGCTTTGTGACAATCCTTCAGAACAACAGAGTACCCTTTTACGTCTCTCTTCGCCCAAACCATCTCCCCTGATCGCCGTCCAAGGCAGACATCACGTAGAGCAGTTGCTCTGAGCATTTAAATATTAGTAGTTCAAAGCTCATTGCGTCTACTGCCAGCAAAAAATGGTTCTTTTTTGTGTAAGACGCTAACCCTAACCCACAGAAAACATATCTGCTAGCATTTATTTTCCTTGTTTTCCAAATTAGTCAGAAATAAAAATTATATTTCAACAGCCCAAGCAACAATCATTTAAACACTACACTTGTGTTTTTGATACAGTCAAAAATATTCAAAGTTCAAAATTAGTTGAGTTTTGAAGGATAATACGAAGCTCAGGTGGACAGTACAATTAAATTTGCCAGTAATAAAGAGACGCAATGATCCTTAGGGTTCTAGACTGTCAGAAACAACCTCTTACCTCTCTTCAGCCTTTCATCCCTCTCTCTGCTGTCTGTGACCAAGGGCCCGGGTGGCCTCAGGGACTTTTCGCTGAACACCTTGTAGCGTTGCCCAGTGATCAGAAAGAACATGATGACCGCTGCCAGCATTGCGCAGCTTAGGAAACCAAGCAGCCACCACCACATGGTTTCTCCACAACAGAGCACTGGCAACTGGATGAAAAAAAAAAAAAAACAACTGTAGAAAAACAGTTGTGAGGTAGACTGAGAAAGTAATCCAAAATGAGAAAAGATAGGGAGAGGGTAGGGCTGAAAGATGTCTTCCACGAAAGGCTCTCCCTTTTAAAAGAGTGGCTAACTGTAGATGAGGAATTATTAAAAGGGAGGGGGTGGAGAAAAGTGAAAGGAGGGAAAAGTCATATTCAATTAATGGAAGCAAGTCAAGGAACACGTAACACGTGACATTTTGGTAATTCCAACTCCTCAAAAAGCTGATATCACATTCTCCACACTTCAGACATGAGACCTGCAGAGAAGAGAGAGCTGGCTGTTTGTCACTTCACATCAAGAATTGATTCGCTGCTTGTTACTTAAATGCCTCAGGGTGGTTATATTTTACAGACATATTACTGTAGCTGACATCATATTGGTTCCTCTCCACATAATTGGAAACAAAGATTCATTTAGAGTGGCTCTTAATCAGTTACTAAAAGGGCACTTGGATGATTTGGTTTGGTTGAATTTCTTTAATGCCGAGTGTCCGTTAAAAACTATAAAGAAACGCTTTGTACCAGGCCTTTGATGCTGTTGTAGGAAAGATAGTAGTGTAAAATAAATGATAACAATTAAGCTACTTAGCGTATCTGTTACATCCGGGGAAAAAATAGGAACTGGATTAATTTACAGTATTTAATAATCAAAAAGGCCAAAGGCAAACAAAAACTTACTTCCAAAAGCTCAACAAAAAAACACAAGGCTCAAAAACAGGGAGCCACACAGGCGCACGAACAAAAACTGACACTGCAACATACAACAATCAACACTGGCTACTTACAACATACAATGCACTGACACAGGAGGGAAGAAACACAGTTTGACAGGGGTAATCAGACACAGGTGAGACTAATGACACAGGTGAAGACAAAGAGGGCAATCACACTGGAGGGAAACACACAGAGGCAGGAGTAAACACAAGACAAGAAACACTGGAGACTAGAACTACAACATAAATCAAGAAACACGAAGATACACAGTGAACTCAAGAAAGTAACATAACCACTAGAACAAAGAAACACAAGGATGAAAAAAACTACAAAATAAAACAGGAAATACTTAAGACTAAACTATGAAACATTAAGACAAAAAAAAACACACACAAGGGAAACATGCAACACTAGGATGGACAGGAGAAATGAAAACATGGAAACCTAAACACTGAAATACAAAACTAAATAAGACCAAATCATGACAGTATCTGTATCAATCATATCGTAGGCTATGAGGTATTACTGGAAATGATTCGTTTTCAAAATGTAGAACAAAGCTGCTCTGTCATAGATTGCGCAGGCAGGCTACGGAAAGTCCGACAAAAATACTCACAAACACACCAAACTTTCCCCGCTCCCCTCCAGCAATATTGCGTAATTTAAAGCTAACCATAACCCTCTTTTTCCCTCCTCGTTTCCACAGCGTGACCAAGGGTGCACACTTTGGGTTCTACTTTGAACCTATGAGCAAACATTTGAACTACAGTAGCGTGACGTCCTACTGAGAGTGCGTTTTCATATTTACCACGCTACCTCTCGTTTGCGTTTTTTGGGGTGTGAAAATCAGGGCTCCAATTTCCACAAATCAAAAAATTGGAACTGGCAGAATTAAATGGTCACATTAATCTAGCCTAGTAATTAAATATTTCTGAATGTAATGGAAATGTTGACATCAAATTTGTTTTTGTGGTTGGCAAAAAATGTGATTAGCCTAAAAATACTAAAAATGTAATAGGCCTAGGCCACTAAAGTGTAGTCGGCCAAATCTTGCTATATTTTTGAGATACTCATGATGTAATAAGATGACAAGACAATCTGTTCATTATTCGAGTAATTAACAATAGGGATGGGATACTGACCTAAAAGATAGTAGTTGGCCTTTAGAGGTCAGTATTCTGTTATTTTTGTGTTTAAGAGAAGATTTAGTTAATATGCAACTATTTTTTTTAAGACCACATTTTTCCGAATTTCAGTTTTTTACACATTCATTTGTTAAGTTTTCACTGCAAGGGACAACACGCACCGGGAACATGTCTGCTTTTGTGCGAAAGATACGGACACAGCGCCAACTTTATTTATAGAGTAGACTTTCCCTGGGAGGTTGAGATGTGTGATATCCATTAATTGGAGCACACCATCCGCTCCCCCTTTTTTAAAATGGGGACCACCACTCCTGTCTGCCACTCCACAGGCACTGTCACACACCTCCACGTGGCATTGAAGAGGCATGTAAACCAAACAAGCCCAACAAGGTCCAGAGCATTTAGCTTCTCCGGGCGAATCTCAATACATTTACTTAAAAACATATTTTAATTTCACCCTTTAATTTCTAAACAAAAATTTAATTGAATTTAAAAAAACGTTTTAGTAGAGATTTATCTTTCTATTTAGAGATTTTATAAAGAAAACACAAAACCATATAGTTCAGATGAAAGTTGTGTTTTGTCCCTTCCTGTCCCACCAGGTGTGGCAACAGAGACTTAGTGGCAGGTTTAATGTTTCCCAATTACACACTTAATCACAAGTTCAGCTTCTTTTAAATTGTCAATCTGTAAAAACTTTAAAAAAAGAAAATCGTGTGTGTGTTTGCTGTGTTTGATTTAAAAAAAAAAAATTGGCATTTTTGGCAATGCACTGTTCTCTTTATACACATTCTATTTATCTCTGTTTGATTTCATTGGTTTGATTAGGGATACATTTTACTAGATCTGTTAGTTGGGAAGCCATTTGCTTTTGAATGTCTCATTTTTCAGTACCGTTATGTTACCTTTATGAGGGGTCCCTACAACATTGTAATGTCCTTGTTATATTTGGCTGTATGTATGTGTGTGTATTACTTCACTTTACTTTTTGTATAGGCTCAAGTGTGCTGCAGCCTTTCCTCTGGTATTCTCCCTGTATACTTGTACTGTTCTATTTAACCTTGGACTTGACTCATGCTGCCATTATTTAATGGTTATTTTGTCAATTAAAGCCATGTGCTTGTAGTGTGTTTTACTGTTCTACTATTGGGAACTATTGGAAGAATGGAACCAACTTTGTGGATCTAAGTAAAGTTAACAGTAAAGTTACCCCTAACCACAAATTCTGCTTAGTGGCCTCTTGATCTTGTCATTAAATCTTGTTGTTGTTGTGGTCAAATCAAAAATACATCATGTAAGTGTTAAAATGTCAGAAACTATACTTCTTGCTAAATGAAAGTACGTCTCACAATAAAAACAACACAGAAAATGTATCACAGCTGATTTCAATCAAATGTATTTACTCACTTTCAGGTGAAACATGAACAATGTCTGATTACACAATCACAAGTCCTGCAATAAATTTACAAGGTTCCTGCTTGATCAGAACTTTTATTGAAGGGTTTTATATGAAATCTAGTGATCCGAACTAAAAGGAGCACTCCACAATTCAGCCACTGAAAACTCTTTCCCATTGGTGTCAGATATGTTTTTGCTTAGTGTGGCTTTCTCTGAACGTTTCGAAAATAACCCAGATGGCGTGAAATTGATGTCTCAATTATTATTATGTTTTGAGCCAGGTGACAAAAAATACAACAGAAAAAACAGAACTATGTGGGATGCAGGGGTTTTTCATCTAGACCAATTCCTTAAATTTTCCTAATATGCTTCATTTTGATATAAAACCCTTCAATAACATGTTTTTGGCACATAAAGAGTATACATGTACAGTAAACCTAAACTTGGAGCAACCCCCTTTTTTATTTACTCAAAAATATAGCCAACAAACCTTTATTTATAGGAACTGGATATAAATCAGTAATCTCAAGTCACTGGTCACTTGACAAAGTTATGGCTGTTCCATGAATTTCAAGTTTAAATGCATATCGTTAAAGAAAGATACAGCCAACATGGTTTTATTGCATTCATGACATTTTATAGAATAAGGACACAGTGAGGTTTTGGAATGTCCTCAAGAGACCACCATGTGGTGCATTACAACACCAAAGACTTCAAAATATAGCTGTCAGACAAAGAATATCTGCTATGCTTCAAGCCACTTTTGAAAACTACAGCATACATAGAAATGTTATTTACAAGACCCAATAAAAGGGTCTTCTCTAATACAACTATTTCTATACTGTCTAACAATTCATTGTGCATCAACAGTACTCAGTAGCTGCCACAATATAAAATCTGAGTACAAACAAGCTGCTCAAGGAGCATTCTTCAATTGGCACCATGGGCAGTGTCACATGCACGGTGACCCACAAGGGCACAACACAACAGCTGAATGCAGAAGTGTTTACATGGCACATGTTCTGAAAGTTCACATTTTGTTAATACTAAGCAAGAATCTCATACTTACTTAAACAGGAGCTATTATATTACTATGTATCTACATGCTATCTACATGCTGTTTACAGCTGAGTTAAGACTACAAAAAAAATTGAATTGTGAATAAAAAAAGGAAAAGTGCCAATTATAAATAATAGTTTCAGTTTTGAGTGGAATGTTTTTCGATTAAAAACACGTCTTCAATGTGTGCCCACGTAAATGTGGGCTGTAAGTTTCAGGAGGAACTGATCATTTTTCAGCTAATGTGTTTGAGGGATTTTGTACTCTGATATTCTATGCTTGTTGATCATTACACTTTCAACTGCGCTGCACCTGATAAGCAGTTTTGTTTCAATGTGCTGTTGTTTGATTGCTTCATGGTACTTTTCACGGATATGATGAAGGAGGAGCTGTATGAGTTTGTATGTAACAGGGCGGCATAATACTGTGTTTTTTTCTGCTGCAATTTAAATATTAATAAATAAATGACTCTGTAACCTGATTCATTCAGGGTATTCATGCAATTCTCTTTTAAAACTGATATCCTTATGATTCCATGGATAAAAAGAAATACCCCTTCCTACTTCGACAGGGTTCAGCCTTCTCCCTCTAATTCTCAGACACAAGCATGGACAGGTGAAGACAGTACACAAGTGGAGCGACTCGTTTCATCTTCAACTTTGGGATCAACCTCTGTGTTACAGTAACTTAGATGTAATCTACCCCTTCTAATGTTGTCTAATCAGCATGATGTACCAGCCCTGTACATCTAAATGAAATGAACTGTACTGACATTGACTCACACATTACACATCAAATAAAACGTATGTGCGCTACATGTTTAGCCACTGTAAGGATGCATGCCACAGCATGTCCTGTTAAAAGTCTGCATATGTAGCCTCGAGGTGCTGCTGATAAGGGGAATAGCCAACATGTATTTATTGCCACCTTGTGTAACTGTGGGTCTGCTTTAGGAATGCGGGTGATATTGTCAGTGATAGTAAATTTACATGTATGTTCATGGGTATTGGAATCCATGCATGGCAGTCAGTTCTCCCTGTACTCTGGTAAAGGGTTTCTTCTCATTACACAATAAAGATTTAACCTGGATTAGTTATGGAGAAGGAGAACCTTCATTTTTGTATCAAGCAGCCAAAAAGTAGCAGTGTGAGGGGTTTTGGTTAATATGTGCGACATCACATGTCCTGCAATGAGACAGTTACACATGCACACTTCTCACTGTCAATATTGAAACAACACATCATGCACACTAGTGTGCAACTACATTAAATATATGCTTACAAAAGAGAGCACAGATTGACAGTGGAGTTTACTTTCATTGTTGGCACCTAGTAATAAAAAGATTGAAATCTTATTTAAAAAAGTAGTTTGACAATAGAAAATGTGTGTTTTTGTGCTTCACAGCAACTAAATCATTGCATGGGTTACACAATTAATAGTTTAAAGATAAATTATACAAACAACTTGCCTTTTTCATTTATGCTTTTGTAAATTGAAGACCTTATGGGCAGCCACGCTATTAAACAAACAGCTTTAATTTATCTAGTTTGTAGTTGTGATAGGCATTTGTCAATTTCTTTTCAACATTCTAGGATAACGTTTTGGTCAGTTGATAAGTTTGTGTTACGTAATTTACTGGCACTAACTGCGTACAAATGAGGTGTTAACTCAGTGATGATCTCTCTGATCATGAAATGTAAACAGTGACAAAATCTGCTGATGATCATCAGTAATGGCACAAAGATAATTAAGAAATACAAAAGCGTCTGCTCTAAAATTAAGCACAAATAGACAACTGCGCACGCACGCACGCACACGCACACACACGCCAGTTTTTTCCTCAATTCTTCTACTGACTTCTTTTCTCGTTGATGTTTGACTATTCCTTTTGTTTCCTGTCCTCAAAGCTAAGACAAATGTATTCCTGTTTAAATAATGGATGTTTTATCTAACACAATGTAAAATGTTCAGCATTCTCCCCTGTATGACTCTTTTAAAAACTGCTATTGTAAGGGTCAGATCAGATTTTGTGTTGATAGGAACTTGTGAAATTGTTGTAAAAACATCCACTATTTACACAGTTCTATATTTAACTTTACACAGAAGCATATCTTCAGTGCTGTTCGCTCGCCTTTATTTCCTCCTTAGTCCTCCCTCCACAGACGCCCTCTAGAAAACCCAGGTGACGGGGACCCACTGAGGGTTTTTCGAAACCGTATCCAAGGCCGCCTTGACTGTGCGATAGGTCTCATCCAGGTTGTCATTGATGATGCTGAGGTCAAAGTAGTGGCCGTAGGCTGCCTGGAGTTTGGTGCTCTCATCACATGTCCTCTGCAGCTCCCCATCCTAAGATGGAAAACACAAGGTTTCAAACTACATTTCTTTGGATTTTTAATGGAATGTCAGGAACTTTCCTGGTACCTTTTCAAGTTTATACTTTTTATGCAGCTAACTGAGTTGAAAGTGTTCAAGGTTCTGTTTATTTGGCATTTATCTCATGTATCTGTATCCCCAATTAGTGTGACAGAAAGAACATGTAACATATAGATATATAAATATACCTAAAAATCTTTAGAGTACGGTAAACAATTACAATAAAAAAAAGCTTAGATACAGAAAAACAGATACAAAATAAAACCTGCAGCACACAGTTAGCACCAGTCATTCAATTTGTGCAGCACAGGTCCATCTGTTACTTATTTTATTTGTGTGACAGGGTTCGGTTACGATCTTGACAGCCTGGGGAAGAAAAACTGTTAAGCATTCTGCTGGATTTAGCAGAAATGCTCCAAATACCTCTTGCCTGAAGGTAGGAGGGAGAAAAGTTTGTGAGATGGATGCAGGTGGTCCTTTATGATTCTGGAGGCCCTGCACAGCGCTGATTGTAAATCTACAGCAGGATGGGGAGAATGGTGTTTCTTTTCTCTTCATGTAAATGAAGATTGCTATGAGTTTTTCTTACCGTCAAGGTCTTGGTAACCACTCCTGCCTCTGCAGCCGACTGGTTCATGGCCTTGAGCACCTCGAAGTCAGGAGACTGAAGGAACACCACATAGGGCAGGAACTCTGAGGTCCTCAGCACTTTGAGAGACTGGAATATAACATGACCACACAAACGATTTTGATTACAAAGAGTGTGTTGAAAATACTAGGTCAGGATTCCACCAGTTGGCTGGAGTTTCCTCACTGGCCACACTTCAGTACTTGCTTTGTGCGGTCCTATTGCGTCAGAAAAATGCCCTTGAGTAAGGCACATGACACTCAGCTGACAGAATTGAGCTACATCACATTTTCAAGGCTGTTCTTGGTGTTTAACCTTCCCAGGACAGTGTTCAAATGAAATGTATTTGTATTGCTTTTATGTATTGTTATTGGTAAAGTGTGTAGGCTATAAAGGATAGAAAGCATAATGCCACTTTAACAGCACTGCAAAGCCAATGCTCAAAAATGTGGCATTTCTGTGTGTACCTGAGGGTTTGCATCTAGAATGCAGACACGTCCTGCCTCCACGACTTCATGTATGGAGTCAATCTTGATTCCATAGAGGCTGCCGTCATACTCTCCATGTTCAAGATAGCATCCGTTCTTGATATCAGCCTCCATCTTGCTCCGACTGGTAAAAGCATACATCCGACTCTCTTGATCTCCCTTTTTGGGCTTTCTAGAAGTGTCTGGATAGTGGGGAAAAAGAATCATGAACATGCACATATGGGTGCTAATAATCTTTGGCACTGACCCCTCAAAAATTGATGACAGGTTTTTTGGTGGCCACATGTAAAGTGGCAATCTGAAAACAATAGAAAAATGGAAATTTAACACAGCATAACACCTCTTTTTGATTTAAACTATGCATTATCAACTCAAAACCCAAGTTATTTGTAAACAATGGGGGTTTTAACGGACAGTCTATTAGTTCACTGCTTCTTGCACAACCCCAATTCCCTTTCTGACCTTCTGACCTGAAGCCTTGGCTGTGTTTCCCATAGGTTTTACTTCTAGGGGTGGTGGCCCACCAGGCAGGGACATAAGCAGGGTAGACATATTTCTTAACTTTTCTTAACTCATTAACAATCAAAGATTTTTGTTTGTTTGTTTTAAACAGTACATTATAAATTATAAAGTTGAAATTCTACGATAACATATTTTTGTTACTTTAATATTAGTCGGGCAGCCCCAGGCAAAAAAAAAATCTGTTTCACCCCAGCTTGTTGAAATAATGTGCTTGCAAGCTTTTCTCTCTCTCCCAATAAAAGTCAATATAAATCAACCATCAACGAGCTCTCTCCCCCCCCCGCTATGAATATAAAACAACAATAATCCATCCAGGTCATCAAAAAGAGCAATAGACAATTTAATGTTTAATGTGTGATTACTTACATGGAATGGTGGTGCCAAAGAGTAAAGGATCCCTTAGTAGAAGCTTGTTCTTTAGTCTCCGCCGCCCAACACCTTGGGCACCAATCAAAATGAGGGTTTTCCTCTTAAAAGGTGGGACCTTGGCCACCTCCTCATAGAGCAATATTTCATGTCTGTCAAACTCTAAGAAAGGAAGTCAGACAGAAGAGAAAAAGGAAAGAAGACATCGAAAAATAACTTAAAACTTTCACTGTTTTTACAGAGGTTAAAACTTGATTGATCAGTAGACATAGTTTAATGACTCGGCCCAACAATGCAGCATGATATAAAGGACAAGCTTTGTTACCTGCATTTTTAGTGGTCACATACATCATTTTCTTCTTTTTCTTCCCTCCAACACCAGTACAAAGATTTCCTGCGGCATAAATGAAGCATTACTTCAAGCACTGAAGTTATCAAGTCAAGTTCTTCATTCACCCACCCTCCTCTCTTAGCTTTGAAAAAAAACAACTTAAGATCGAGGGAAAACAGCTAATGGGGATCAGTGTGAAGGAAACACTATTGACCTACCAAAACCTTGCTGTTTAAATACCTAATCACTGTTTTAAAGGGGGTGAGCCTATAATTACACCTGAGCCGCAAAGCCAATCATCTTATTACCACTTTACCCACTGTTTGCCCAATCAGAGAAAATGAAACAATCCAGTGCGGGTAACAGTTCAAATCTCACCAACCTCTGAGCCATAACACTAAACCGCTATGGACAGATATGAATTCAAGGATATGCCCCCAGAATGTGTTTATGACACTACAGTGTTTATACATTTAGCCAACATACAAACATTTGGAGAGCCATGAATGTTTATCTTTTGTAGATGTTTGACTTGAAATGCAAAACTGTACACATGCATTAAAAAATCATAACAGAGAGTAGCTATATGCTCTCTCGCAGTTTAACTTTTACGTTTTTTATTCTCTCGTTACAATACTTGCTTTGCTTTTATTCAGGGAGGCTGGATGAAAAAGTTTAACATGTCACCAATTTCACTGTGAACTACATACACAGAGTCAAACAAGAGAAAATACAATTTGGCCTTGTAAGTCTGAATTAAAGTGCTCATGTGCATTTTAAAGAGAGCCAGCTCTGAGTTGGTCCCTGAAGTCAGACATCCATGGGACGGATGAAAACAATGTGCTTTTGAACAAATGTACAGGTAAAAATTTGCAGAAAATATAAAACCATATGTCTTGTGCTGATGGTGGCTGTGTTATGTACACACTACGGAACAACAAGATTGAAATGTTCAGAGGCGCTGCCATGAGCTTGTCAGGTACTTCTGCCCTAAGAAAACCAGATAAAATAAATGGAGGCCCTGCTGAGCTATGATAATTTATCACCAATCATACATAATTACTGCAATTACAAATGTATAAATTAATACTCTTGATTTGATTTGAACAATCAACATTTAACACTCCTGCACATGTGGCCGTGTATTTTGCACATTTTACTACTAATTTAATAAGTAGATCAAAATGAGAAGTTGGTTTAAGCAAGCTGATTGTTAGTCACTCTATAAACCTATCAAAGACAGACGTAGACACTTTAACCAGACTATCTTATCCGTGACAGGCTGCGTTATGTTTATGGCCTGGTGAAATTGTAGACAATTGTATGTGTCTCCATACACAGTGATCAGTTCACTGCTCTGGTGAATGGGCCCACATGTGATGTTATTCCAAACAGAGATTGATTGTAAAAAATTAGTCATGGAAAAAGAGATCCCTAAGAGTTATCATGTTCTGCATGACAGCAGAAAAGTTGAAGCATGAATTGTTAACAGTTCATTTGAGTCAAATGCTCTTATTTGCAGATCTAGATCACAGGGTCTCCAATGTGCCTATAGCACATTCACATATGCCAAGCACGCAGACAAGGGATAATCTTTAATACCATTATCATTACTTTTCTAACAGTTACCTGCTGGTGCAAGCTCAACATTTGTCTTGACAAATGCTTTCCTCTTCTCCTCCAGCATCTGACTGGGAATCAGCCCCGTGCTACCACCCTCTACATGACGGGCCTGTTTGAAACACATACAAAGACCCATTACTGAATACAAGCATTTAAAAACGAAAAAACACAATCAGGGTTCATGTGATTGTATTAAACAATAATCTATGGAAAATGGATTTAGAATCTAAATTTGAATGACTTAAAGCTTTCTGTGAATAACGAATAACACAAAAGGGAAAACTAATGCAAATGCATTTAAAAACACATTATGTTTTTGTACTCCACCTGCCACCAGTTGACATCATCTTGGTTGACTATCTGCAGAATGTCTCCTGTCTCAAACCTTAAGGCCGCCTCCTTACAGGGAATCAGGTTGTCATTACCTGGGTCATAGTCATAGTGACACTTAAAGAACACCTGGAAAAATGCAAATACAGAAAAGGGACTCAATAACATGTTTGCTGTTTTTGCATTCTCAAAGATGCATTCTACAACTGTGTGCTTCTTACTTAATATTATATCTGGCCATCTGTTGACCCATTTTAACTAAACTAATTAATGGTAGTACAGCTATTCTCTGTGTTCTATTTTTGTAGCTTGTACCTGTCTTGGTGGTATTGCTTCATGGTAGCTGGGTAGTATCTTCAGTACCACACTTCCACTGGCTGCCTGCAGCTCCTCCTGCAGCACCCTAGGGTCCTGCCCCACCTCTCGTCCATTCACCTGTGAACACGTTTGATAAAGAAACCTTTCTGAATTGACAAACTGATAGACAAATTAGCGGCCCCATGTCCTCAAGGAGGTCTCAAACACAAAAAGACTTTAGTGAGCCAGAAACATTAGAAAAGAGGTCACAGGAAAGATATTTAGGCCTTCACAGGCACAAGATCAGATAAGGATAGGGAGTCACATCATGTGCCTTGGTTGACAAAAATCACTGTTCATAATTATATCTGAATAGTAATGAAAGTATAATAATAACAAACAATACTTTCTTTTGATCTCATTAAAGGAGCACTTGAACAGAAGCTGCTGCCATAGCCAAGCTAATCAAAAGAAATCTCCTCCTTGTGTTACACCCAACATCAGTGCATCTGTTGGTTACCCAATCTCTGTCCAACTCATGGCACTCATCATCATCGTCAGACAACAAGTGCCACGTGTGTCAAACTATTTGAACAACTTAATACTGCACTACTGAGACTTATTGCAAAATCTTAAACTGCCTGGACTGAAAACACATAAAAGATGTATTTCACAGACTGCACACATGGCGGGTAGAGATGATGATTGTTTATTGAGAAGCACATGAAGTTCAAACAGTGCAAGATAATGCTCCATGAAATGGCATCAGATTTGATTAAGTGCCAGTGCCCACAGGAGATCACTGGAGGATCCCTTGGTTCATTAGCTCCAAGGGGTAAATGGATGTTTTATTTAATTTATGAAAACACATTTCTTTAAGTCTCAGTATCAGCCCCTTGAGGAATGAGAAGCTAACCACCCTCCTCTTCATTTTGGTTCTATGGGCTTACCCATAATTGTGCATACACACATCGCGTGATCTTTCTTTCATTTGTGGATGAAGGGAGGGAACAAGACAGCATTTTTAGAGTTATAAACTATAAAAACGAGGGGGCATTCATTTGTTTTCTCCAAATTCGTTTAGGATCCTGTTTAATTTTGATTTATTTTTTTCTGTCTGAGTAAAACAACATCATCCACAATCAACTAATAAATGAAACATTTTCTTTTCGGTCTGCCCATCATGTACCTGGCAAGAAAAACAAACCCTAAAATTCATAGCCCTATGAGGAAAATGAACAAAGCAGGCAAATAGCTACAGTAAAGAACATTGGCGTAGGTTCAAGTGTTGAAACAAGACCTGATGATAAGGTGAGCATCCGAATTTAGACCACCATAACATAAAGAATACTATTTGGAATAGGGTTGTACAGACCAAATACGTCTACCTGTGATTAAATGCGTTTTTACAAAAAAATATTGATATGTGATTAATTCATATTAAGATCTTAATTACCATTTACAGCAGTGTTTTTCTAATATAAAAAACAATAAACAATTCATCTTTAAAATTCTTGACTAGGATAAAGAATTATGTAGCTTTTTACTTTAACTTATCGAGTCCCCCAGTACTTTGGTGCTAAGCTACTCTGACCAGGCAGCTTCATGTTTAGCAAAAAGTCATATGCAGAGTGTAATCAGATTACATTTACCGGTACATGATAATATAATTATACAATATAAAATCTAATTACAAATAAAGAGATCGTAAAAGCATAATAGCCCAAACTACAATGTTTTAGATAGACATTAAGTGGGGTTATACAGTGCTCATGAGGTCATCAGAACTTTGACTTCAGAAGTTAAAGTGTTTCCAAAGTTGAATTTCAGTCGACCTACCTCTTTGATTATATCTCCAACATGCAGTAGTCCTTGCTGGTCTATCATCCCCCCATGGAGGATGCGAGCTATAATTAGCTCACCAGCCTCCACCTTAAATGTCACACCCTGTAGCAAAACAGCAAAAATAAGTTTAAATTACTCAACATTGTGTCCTTTTATATTAAAATCACAAACATTAGAATTCATTTGTGCCAAATATGTTGAATGTTAAAATAATACCCACCAGATGCTCCCCCGCTACTTTGCGTATGCCCACCATGCGTACTGCGTCAGGTGGTGGGTGCAGGTTGTGTTTGTGGCCGTCCTCCTGCTCATGATCCACACAGTCACATGGGCTGGGGGGTGGGCTATCACATGCCTGGGATGCTACTGAATCATGAGTCTCAAGTAGAGACTGGTGAGCAAAAAAGTAAAATAATCAAATAAAAGACATATATAAGTATATATAAATAGTATTTTCTTCTTTGGACAAATCAAATTCTGTTTTTAACTGTATGATTGGAAAATAGTATAGTGTGCAAAGGTCAAACAACCCATTGTATTGGCGGATTTAACAAAACAACCAGCCTTAATGGCCCATGTTTCCTCTGCCCATGGTGCATCTCAGCATCAACATTGGCATGTGGCTATGCTAACTGTAGGACGGCTAGATGGGTTTCTGGATAGTAGATCAGATATAGAAATATAACAAACTATTCATGGCGTAATAAATTGAACAAAATTCTAAATACAGAGATAATTCATGCATATGAAAACCCTTGATGTCTAATGATGAGCCCAAAGCCCACTCACCAATACATTTCTCTATTGGTAGCAATCTGTAGAAGATTGTTCACCCCCCATTCAGCACAGGTTGTTATTATACTGCATATTAGATGCCCGGAATTCATGGAGACTGTTTCTTACCCATGACACATGCAATCATTTTAGATGATTTAGACAAAAAATTTATGATTTTTAACTCACACGACAAGACAGAAAACTAAATCATTTGGTATCTAACAAGTTGAACAAAGGTTAGTGCAGCGTACATTCCCCATTAATTTATGGTATTAATACAATCCAAGCTGAAGACAATTTTAAAGTGAACTATATATACACTTTTTATTAAATGTATATATGTGATCTGCACCTGAAAGTGAGGCTGTGTGAGTATGAGCGCTAATTCAGCTGCAGTGTCAGAGCGGGTTGTGAAGGGGTTGAGGTCTCTCAGGATTTCCTGCAGGAGCTCAACGTTGTTCTCCCTCACTGGTGACGGCCGTGGCTCTTTCAGGCTCTCCTCTTGTTCCTAACATCCATACATGTATGCAAAGACACACCATTATGTTTGAGATTCTTATTTTTGTGTATATATGAACACATCATCAATGTACATTTTTTTTTAACAAAACTCCACACCAGAGGGCTCTCCATGATGCCTTTGAGATAAATGAGGTCCAGGTCCTTGGCCGTGGTGGAGCTGGTGGTGCTGTCACTCATCACATCCAAGACCTGGGGCACTATACACACAAACGACGAAAACAGGAACAGCAGTTTTGTATAAATGAATAAGTCATGGCCTAGTATCAATAACTAATTTTCTAATTAGCTATGGTCTTTAGTGGAATTTTTGGTATTTGACTCATTGCTGTGCCTGCACTATATCTTTAAAAGCTTAAGTTAGCAGTTTTCTGAAATATGTGCATCCCAGTCTAAATAATTTCCCCAACATGTGTCCTACAGCCATCCATAGCCAACCGCCAACAACTACATGTGTAGTTATTGCACAGGTAGTTTTAAACAAAGACCCCACTCTACTTTAGTATAACATAGATGAAACATTGCTGAAACACGTGAAGCATTTTTATATTCCAAAGTGAATACAAAAGAGGAAAGGGATATAGCTCCAATTAGCTATCTGGTCTTACCAGGCTCTGTCTTAGTCGAGGCCACAGGCATTGTAGAGCTTCAGTCGATCTAAGAGAGAAAGATGAGGAAAAGAAGTGAGATATGAGTAATGTACAAAGTCCATTGATACAAGGAGTCCAAAAAGCAGTAAGAGGCTAATGTTGTTAGTTTCATAAGCAAATGCATTTATTTTTTTTAATTGTCTTGAGAGACAATTAATGCAGCTCTCGTGTCTGCACTGTAAATTCTAAGCATGATGCCGGCTTATTTATCTCTTATCTCTTATCGAGAGAGAGAGATTAAAAAGAGACAAATTATTGTAAGAGAGGGCGGTGGAGGTAATGTAGGCGTAACTTCATATTGCCATGACGACAGACACAATAAGATAGCAATTTGAGGAGAACAAAATAGATTCTTTTTTCCTCTTCAACACAAACACACAGATAAGAGCAGGTGATATTGGAAACCCCTTTTCACATAGATATTCTGCAACCTAAAGCCCAAACAGTCCTGTAACTCTGCATAAAGTGTCCCGAGATAACACTTGTTATGAGTTGACGCTATACAAATAAAAACTGACTGATTGATTGATATGCAAATCTGTTTTTTTTTTTTTACACAAAACAACACAACAGTGTAATTTTGCTGTGATTTTCACAGCATTCCAGTGTTGTTGTATCCCACCCTGAACAGGTTGTGGAAAAGGGACTTGAGATTAAAAGCAAACATAAAGAATCTTTACGAGGACAACAGAATGTCGGGATGAAAATGTACTTGATCAAAAATGTAGTCTGAAAAACATCACCCACCTACTGCCTATTTTTAGATGATATTATGCAAGCTCAAGGCAGCTCATTCTTCAAACAAGACCAATACAGTTGTAGACAGACGTGCAAAAGTTTTTTTTTCTTGTTCTCCAGAAACTAGGAAATTAAGAGTTTAAAAAAAGATGCACTAGACACAGGACCGATGGAGACATCCGAAACTAACTATTTCAAACATACTTTTAAAGATTCGGGATGTAATTTCTGGCTGAATACTGGCAGCATATAACACCAATTTATCTGTGACAAGCATGAACGTTGTAACAGATTCAAACTATGTAATGGCTTTGTGTGTTACAAAGTCAAAGTTAAATACATTTTTTTTAACCAGGACTTGCACATAATGTAATCTGTGGCTCACAGCGGGTTGCAGACATATTACAATTTGGGGAAACCCCCTAAAAATCAGGATTCAGGCCCAAATCACAACACTAAATCCGACTCAAAGCATTAAACCACTGCTCCTGCGTCTGTGTTGTGTTTCCTACTGAGATGCTCCATCAGAAGAAATGTAAAAACTGAATTCGGATCCAGTTCAAACCACTAGCCTTGTATACACTTCTAGACAACAGGATTTTCGTAGATGTCTGTAAATTATAGTTCAGTTCACAGTCAAGATGGATTTTTTTACAACATCAAACAACACATTTTCAATAGCTTCAATGGTTGTACTACTTTTAATCACAACATTTTTTGGTTCTAACAATTAGAAAACCTCTGAGTATTTTGGCTCCAGAAATAAAACGAGAAACATGTGCTAATAGATAGATGCTCAAGGCTTACAGCTGTTCAGATAGATGGATTTCACCTATTTATGTGTAGCCATAAAGGTACATATTATGAAGAAAACATGTTTAGGTGAGTGTTATACTACATACAACTACTTGATTTGTTTCCGGTGGAAGGCAGGAAGAGTAGCTGTGGATAAAGTTATTGGGATGACAAATGAAGGGGACAAAAACAGGGTTGGAGAGGAAAACATTTTTTAAAAGCTTGAACAACTACTTTTCACATGAACTATATGGTAGAGAAATCTTCTCACACTTAATCTTACATTACATCTGCTGACCTCTGTTATTCTCTGTCTCCTTTCATTTCCTTCTACTCATCTCTCATCCCATTTGTTCACTTATCTTCATCAACATCACCAACTTCTGTCACTGCCCCATGCGCTTACTCTCATATGTCCCTTAATCTTTTTGCCATTGCTTAGTGGCCCTACTGTACCATCCTCACCTTCATATTCTCCCCCTCACGATTATTCCCTTAATAACCCCCCCCCTCCTTATTCTAACTCCCACTGTCACCCATCTGCTCTGCTGCACTAGTAAAGAAACAAATACAAAGACACGTTTTCAAGCAATGTCCAGTAACCTTGCAAGTTTATGCTGCAGACCTGTTTTTTTAAATAATAATTCTTGAATTAACTGTTTAAAAAAAAAATATTTTTAGATTTCACATTTTCCATGTTTCAATGGATTCATTTTGCAACTTAGAGGCAATTATTAATACAGTTAATGTTCTATTTAATTTTCCATGGATTATCGAATAAGATTTGAGTGAAGATGTGAGTGTAACAGAGAGAGTGTGTGTGTGTGTGTGTGTGTGTGTGTGTGTGTGTGTGTGTGTGTGGGGGATGTGATTTGCGTTGTCACGGTTTTTTTTTTTTTTTCTTACGTCACCTGAACCCCGTAAACACTTATGTGTTTTGTTTAATGCTTAGGGTGTTGATGCTGTGAAGGCATGTCCGTCACTTAACGTGTAAACACAATTAACGTAGTCGGCTATACGTGGACGACACGGTGCCCACTCAAACAGAGAAGGGTCTTATCTAATTATTTTCTGGAGTCATAACAAAGCATAATGGCGCACACACATAGGCACACAAAGACGCACATTCACAGGCAAACCACACGAAAATGCAGACAAAAAAAAAAAAAAGGTCCGTCTCTTTAGCCTATCGCACGTACAGCTTTACCACTGACGTTATTATCAGCGCTTTGTTATAAACACACACAAAGCACACGCTCACACCTTTGTCAAAGCAGTCCAGTGTAGCTCTAGCTGCTCTCTAAGGAAAACGAGAGATGGTAGGAAAAGAAAAGAAAGAGAAAATATGTACAACATTCGCAACAGTAGGACTCACGGTAGAAAATGTGAATTAAAAACCATGCACCAAGTACCTTTTGCACAATAAGACAAGATACCCACTCGATGCGATGTCTCGTGCGCTTCTTGTTGTCTATTTTTTTTTGTTTTTTTTTGTTAAATCGTCATCAATAGGCTCACATCAATAACACAGGAGAAAGCATGCAACTTCCGGCAATATTTCAAACTTAAATCTCATTTTGCATATTTACAATACGTTATACAGAAACAATATGATCATATTATTGTTATAATCATGATATGTGTTCACCATGTGAATTCACTATGTTGGACATAGTGTGATGTAGACCAGGTGGAATTTTAGCTCGTAGTCTGCATAATTTTGGTGCTTCTTCAAGCTTCCGGTTAGATTCCTTAAACAATTTGTCTCTTGATTCCCACCATCAGAGGAGGATTAAAGGACCAGTGCGTTTTTTTCTCTTTTGTTGTCAATTAAAAACGGAAAGTCGCCACAGCTTCATACGAACGTTGTTTTGAGGAGGGAAAAATCAGTTTATATTGGATTGTGTTACAGAAGTTAATTCTGCATAAAAGACATCTTAATATTCATCAGCTTTGTTGTTCAAATAAATGCGAAAAACACGAGCAATATGTTTCAAATAATGTATTTACTTTAAACAAAAAGGCAAACCCCCCCAAAATGCTTAAAAACACATTTACACTAGGGCACAACTGGTCAGCCTATTGTAGTTCTCTATGTTTTTTGGAGTAAACATTATTTTGATTAAAAATAATTATAATAAGAACCCCCCCCCCTTCAGTTTGAATAAGAAAAGACAAATGAGAAAACCAAAAATGAAACCAGCCCTATTTAGTCCCCCCTGAACTATTGAAGTCTTCTATGTTTTAAAAAACATATTTTTCCCAAAATGTTTGAAGAAGTAAGGAGGTGCAGTGACATTAATGAAAGTTAATATTTCCAAAACAAATACTTTGTTACAATTCGGTGTGTAAAACAAGGGAGGTGGACCCAAGTGCAGAAACCAAAAAATATTTAATCAAACAAAAAGGCAAACAAAAACTCACTTCAGAAAGTACAACAAAAAACACAGGGCTCAAAAACAGGGAGCCACAGAGGAGCACGAGCAAAAACAGACATACCAACGAACAACACAGACACAACATACACTGGCAACTTACAAAATGAACTGACCCGGAAGGGAAGACACACAGAGACTAAATAGACATAGGGTAACCAGAAATAGGTGAGACTAACCAGACACAGGTGAGAACAATCAGGGCAATCACACTAGGAAACACACAGAGGCAGGAATACAAGAAACAGTGAGGACAAACTAAATCATGAAACACTAAAGACTCACAGAACTCAAGAATCTAACAAAACACACTAGAACACAGAGATACACGAGGATATGAAGTTACAAAAATAACACATGAAACATTAACCTAGAAAACGCACAAGGGAAATAACACCATCAGACAAGAATGAGAACTAAAAACAACAAGAAAACCTAAACTCTGAAAATAAGAAACCAAATCATGACATACTTTTTTGATTGAGAAACAGATCCTTTGCTGTTTCAATGTTTGAGAATGAATGGCAAAGCGAGTCAGGCAACCTTCAGCACAAAAGCTTTAAGCTCAGCTGATGTCAACTTAGGTATCATGTATTTTTGTGAGATTATTATTATATTCACTTGCATTGCTCAATGATTTTGTT